TTCAGGCTTTTTGTGAGTTAGGTGACATATCAATGACTGATTTGGGGATACTTTTATTACAAAATCATGATAATGTAAAACATTCTGTATTACACCCCACTAGAAAATGATTACCAAGGGAAAGAAGTTTATTTGTCTTCTTTCGAAGAAAGTTTGGTAATTCTTTGAGCCATAACATCGTTGTTTAGAAGAGTACCCTGAGGAATGATCATTAAACTTTCACACATAGATTAAAACTACCACTGAGGAGCAGCAGTGGCTGTGGACGATTTGGGGACATCTAAATAAATATTCAGCATGTTTGTAGTTGGTGCAAATCTTTGTGGAGGGCCCCTCATAAAAAGTAGAGCCTCAAAATGCATCTCATGAGTCTATCCAAATAGGATGCTGTACTCACAATCCTTAAGTTAAAATGGTTTTACTTAAGCAGAAGGGAAAGCCACACACTAGAAACCTGAAATTTCCCACATGTTCAGTATGTTCCTCATCTTGATAGAGAAGTAAGAATGCACACACAAGAGGTTTTCAAAAAGTTGATGGAAAAACGTGCTATGAAATATGCCTATTATGAAAAAGCTGTGCAGGGATTTCAAAATTTTTTGCACCAAAGTAAACTTACCTTTTGAATTCTATTTGTTTCCAAAAACTTTTTTAAAAATATTTACTTGATTTATTTGAAAGAGTTACAGAGAAAGGGAGAGAGAGAGAGAGAGAGAGAGAGAGAGAGAGAGAGAGAGAGTCTTCCATCCACTGGTTCACTCAACAAATGGCCACAATGACCAGAGCTGAGATGATCTGAAGCCAGGAGCCAAAAGCCTTCTCCAGATCTCCCACATGGGTGCAGCGGGCCAAGGACTTGGGCCATCTGCTGCTGCTTTTCCAGGAGCATTAGCAGGGAGCTGTATTGGAGGTGGAGCCCACATAGGATGCTGGCACTGCAGGTCGGGGCTTTAACCCTCTTCACCATAGCGCTGGCTCCAAAAACTTATTGATGGTAGCATAAAAACAAGATTGAGTCATAATAAAACAAGAGAGCAATCCAGAGGTCTTCCTTCCTGGCTTTGAGGCCACAGATTAATCCTTAGAGCAACAGTTCTAAAAGATAAGGATTATTTCATATAGAAATGGGACCAAAGCACCAACGCCCTCCAAGCACCAGCTAGTAGAAATGATCACAGAACTGTCTCTTGGGAAAAGAGATTTGCATGCACCCTACAAGTCTTTCAGCAAAGATCAGACCCACTTAGCCTTGTCAACTCAGATTACCCAGCACCGCCATCAAACATCCTCAATTCAATTGCTGGAAATTCAAATTTAACCAGGCGCGGGGTGGTGGCGGGGCGGGGTGGGGGAGGGGGGTGTCTTCCCTAATACTGCCAGGACAGACTTCCCCACCTTGAACATCAATAGCATCTGTCCATCCAAAATTATTAGCCTGGTTTACACAAGAGACTTGTTATGAATTTGACCCTACTTTCTCTCCGGTCTCAAATATTAATTACTATTCCCCTCTCAACCCAAAGGACCCCTAAGCTCTGTACCACTGAATGACCTATAGGACAAGTTCTCCGTGACGTTTATAGTCTTAAGACCTTTGCATGGATGTTCTTGCTGCCCGGAATGCACTTTCTTTGCACTCCTCTTTCTCTGGCTATTCAGCATTCTTCCAGTTTCCAGCTTCAATCATATCCTATCTTTCAGTACTGAACTTCACAGGCTCTTTCCTGGATGTCTCCTTTCACATGCCCTCCTGTGGAGGTAGGTGTGCCCCTGCTGCATTCTTCTAGCACTCTTGCAAAAGTCTCTCTGAAACTGATGCATAATTAACTATTTACTTGTGTTTGTTCTCATAGACCGAATTTGTCTATGAAGAAATCCAGGGACCACGTAGAGAGGGCAGGGACTACAAGGGGAAGATTACAGAAAGGATGCAATCGATCAATATATATTGAAAAATTAAAGGACTTTTGTTTTTGTATTCTGTACTCAGTGTACTACCAGGCACGTAACTAACTTTCAAGAAATTTTTGCTGAATGGATCATAGGCACTCAAAATTATTTGTTGGGTAGATGAATTGGTTGACTGAAATCCAGGAAGTGTTACATATTCAGATTCTTGCTTTCTGTCAGAGTGCCTGAGTTTGAGTCTCAGATCCACTTGATTCCAGCTTCCTGCTAATGCATATCCTGGGTTTCAGTAGATGATGGCTCAAATACCTAGGTCCCTGTCACCCAACTGGGAGACCCTGGATTGAAGTTCCAGCTCCTGGGTTTGACCTGCCTATCCATTATCAGCTCTTGTGGGCATTCGAGAAGTGAACCAGCAGATGTAAGATCCCTCTTTGTCTGTTTGTCTCTATATCTCTACCTTCCAAATAAAATGAAAACATCAAACAAAGAAATAAATCTTACTTTCCAACCTCAAATACCTATCCTTCTAGCTCTCTCAAATATTCATTTTCTGGTCCCTGATCAGACCTGATAAAGATGTCCAGTCTCTTGATATTTCCACAGTCACCAAGTCTTTTTTTTTTTTTTTTTTTTTTTTGACAGGCAGAGTGGACAGTGAGAGAGAGAGACAGAGAGAGAAAGGTCTTCCTTTGCCGTTGGTTCACCCTCCAATGGCCGCCGCTGCAGCCGGCGCACCGCGCTGATCCGATGGCAGGAGCCAGGAGCCAGGTGCTTTTCCTGGTCTCCCATGGGGTGCAGGGCCCAAGCACCTGGGCCATCCTCCACTGCACTCCCTGGCCATAGCAGAGAGCTGGCCTGGAAGAGGGGCAACCGGGACAGAATCCGGCGCCCCGACCAGGACTAGAACCCAGTGTGCCGGCGCCGCAAGGTGGAGGATTAGCCTATTGAGCCACGGCGCCGGCCCACCAAGTCTTTTAATTCCTTGATGTGTCACTTTCTTCCCTACCCAGTCTTCACTCTGTTTTTAATAGCATGAATTGTTAAATTTTATTTTTTAAAATGATTTATTTTATTTGAAAGGCAAGAGACAGGGAGAGAGAAACATACACACACACAGAGAGAGAGAGAGAGAGAGAGAGAGAGAGACTGACTCTCCATGCTTTAGTTCACTCCACAAATGCCCTGAAATAGTCAAAGCTGGGCCAGGACAAGCCAAAAGCCAGGAACTCCATCTAGGTCTCCCACATGGGTGGCAGGGACCAAAGTACTTGGGCTATCATCTGCTGTCTCCCAGGCATATAAGTTGGAAGCTGTTTTAGAAGTGTGGAGTGGCCAGAACCAAAACCACGACTCCAATATGTGATCCAAGCATCCCAAGCAGTGGCTTAACCCTCTGCATCACAATGCCCAACTCCCCACAGTTTCATTCAAAAAAAAAAAAAAAAAAAAAAAAACCCTGTACAAATTGCTGCTGTCACAAATATGCCATAATATCATACCACCAAGCAGATGGGATCCAACCTCAACTAAAATTCCAGATTCCTGACCAGTCTTCTTACTTGTATTCAGCTCTCTCATCCTCTCCTCCCCACTCTCCAAGCATCTTCACCCTGTCCTCAATCTAACCATCCACCCCTACTCTCTATGGTTGCCAAGTAGCCTTGCCTCCAATTCCATCAAATTTTTAAGGTAAAAAGGCATCAACACAACTCCCTGCCCCCACACCACCTTACTCCACATGTGTCATTCTCCTTCCCTTGTGTTCCAAAGTATGAGGTATCTCCCCTGCAGGCTATCCTGCATAGAAAATGATTCTCTATACCTGTGCCTTCAATTTCTTCCTCTTCCACCTTCTCTTCTATAGGATCACACACTGTATATTAACCTTTCTCTATCCATCTATTTATCTATCTAATATCTTTAATTTCTCTCTTTGTTCTTGCTCTTCATTGAAGCATATTAATAGGCTAAATTTTATCTCTGGATACTCTTCTAACTCTGCATCTTAACCTGTTGCTTTTACCTACTTTTGTCCTTCTCTTATCAACCAAGCTATTTGAAACATTATTCTCCATGTCTTCTTGTGCCATTTACTCTGCCATTCAATGCAATCAAACTTTTGTAGGTCACACATAGGCAAAAATAAAGACCTCATAATCTGAAACATGATTGCCACCAGAATTTAAACTCTAAAAATCAACTTATGATGAGTCACCAAGAAGACAGAACAATTTCTGGGTCAGAGAGAGACCTGATTTAAAGATACAAGAGCATTGGTCCACGAATAGTAGTATCCATCTGAGAGGCAAATTTTAAAGCCAATGGGCTTTAAGCATTTTAATACCATAATAAGGAATGCCCTGGGCTGCCGCAGCGTCACTCCAATTCTATAATTTCCCTATTTTGACTCCTTAACTTGGTTTCTTGTGTAGGTTGCCCCTACAGAGAGAGAACTTGTCATTTCAGGAGAGTTTAAGACTGGAGAAAATGGTGGGCATTTGGTAGAGTAGCTACACTGCAACTTGAGAGCCTACATTCAAATCAGAGCGCTTGGGATCAAGTCTCAGCTCTGCTCCAAGTTCCAGCTTCCTGCTGGTGCACACCAAGGGATGCAGCAGGTAATGATTCAAGTACTAGTTCCCTGACACCCACAAGTAAGACCCGAACTGAGTTTCCAATTCCTTCTCTCTCTCTCTCTCTCTCCATCTCTCTATATATGTACCTCTATCTATCTCTATCTCTCCATCTCTCTATATATGTATCTTTCTCTCTCCTGCCCTCCCTCTCTTACACCCTCCCTCTTTCCCACCAACTCAAATAAAATAAATTTTAAAAATTTTAGAAAACACCAGAGGTACAGATTAGTTCCCCTGCTCAGAATACTTCAAAAAGTTCATGGAACTTTTAATTAAAAGTTTATTTTTGTGCAAAAAAATGTTTTATATCCTGGCATGATTTTTCATAACCACATTTTCCATGAACTTTTTAAAGTTGCCTTGTATGGTAAAACTAAAAGAAAGTTCACAATAATCACTCATTTTAACAGAAGTTATATGTCAGTAATAAAAGAAAAAATAAAATTCTGCTACCATCAAAAAGTTCCAGGAACATGTAGAAGTTGTATCTTTCTCAAATATTAAAAGAGCTTTCTGCATCAAGTAAATCGCTTTGGATATTTTATTCTTCTTTATTTTATTCATTATGCTTAATTCTGCAAAAGCAAGCAAATATTTTACCAAAGGGAAAGATGAAAACTCTTTCAAATGTTTTGGAACTATAGGCTATCTCAATTTTGATTACCTGTAAAACAATCAGTGCTTCCAGGTTGTTTGAACTTTTCCAGACTTTTTGTAGAAACACATTTGCTAACAGTTGGAGTCTGAAAAACTGAAGAAAAATAACAACTGTTACAGTAATTAAGTTTGTGTCTAAAAGAGATTTTTTTTTAAAGATTTTGTTTATTTATTTGACAGGTAGAGCAACAGAAAGTGAGAGAGAGAGACAGAGAGAAAGGTCTTCCTTCCGTTTGTTCACTCCCCAAATGGCCGCATGGCTGGAGCTGTGCCAGTCCGAAGCCAGGACCCAGGTGCTTCTTCCCGGTCTCCCATGCAGGTGCAGGTGCTTGGGCCCCATCTTCTACTGATTTCCCAGGCCATAGCAGAGAGCCGGACTGGAAGAGGAGCAACCAGGACTAGAACCCGGCGCTCATATGGGATGCTGGTGCCGCAGGAGGAGGATTAACCTAGTGCGCCCGGCGCCGGCCCCTACAACAGATTTTTTTTTTTTTAAGATTTACTTATTTATTTGAAAAATAGAATGACAGAGAGAGAGATCCCCAATCCGCTGCTTCACTCCCCAATGGCCTCAACAGCCAGATCTGTACCAGACTGGAGCCAGGAACTCTAGCTTTGTCTCCCACATGAGTGGCAGAGGCCAAAATACTTGAATCATCATCTACTATCTTAGCAGGCGCATCAGCAAGGAAGTAGATCAAAGACAAGCAGCAGGGACTCAAACCAACACTCCAATATGGGATTTCAGCCTCACAAACAAGAGGCCCAACCCACTGTACCACAATGGTGGCCCCAAGAAATAATCTCTCAACATTAAAGAGTAACTCTCCATTTATAAAATTATTGCTTCTTCTATCCTATACTATTTTTATCATTAATATAAAATCAAAGCAATATACTATATGCAGTATTGTTATCAAATCCTTGCTTATTTACAGCAGTGTACTTCAAAACATGAGAATTTCCAAATTGTAACAATAATTGATTTTTTTTAAAGATTTATTCATTTACTTGAAAAGCAGAGCTACAGCGAGGCAGAGTCAGAGATAGAAGTCCTCCTTTCATTGGTTCATTCCCCAAATGGCCACAACAGCTGGACCTGGGCCAATCCGAAGCCAGAAACCAGGAGCTTTTTCCAGGTCTTCCATGTGGGTGCAGAGACCCTAGGACCTGGGCCATCTTGTACTGCTTTCCCAGGACATAGCAGGGAGCTGGATCAAAAGTAGAACAGCTGGGACTTGCACCGGCACCCATATGGGATGCCGGCACTGCAGGTGGCAGCCTCACCTGCCATACCACAGTACCAGCCCCAATAATAATTGATTTTATATTTCACCTTCAATAAAGTAATCTTGAAAGCTGATAAAATCCAACCTGCTTTTTGCTCACTTTACTTTTTAATAAAGTACAACTTGCAAGTCCAAATACCAATCAGCTGTGAAAACTCTGCCTTCAGCCCTTGCTAGAGAAACTGCTTCATTCATGGTCCCTGCAAAAGCTCTGAGTACAACATTAGGATCTCACTCCCTTGTAGCTCTGGCTGATAAAATCAGAGCCTCTCTCAAGATGTTCAACTAAAACAACCAAAAAAAATTTATGTATAAGAGTGAAATTGACATTTTGAGATTTGATGATTGTTTACAGCCTTTGTCTCTACTGTTGAGGAACAGCGTTTTATCCTTCTTACTATTTGTTGAACTCTTTACTTACTGTAGGATTAATCTTATGAGTATAAAGCAAACAAAAATTAAGAGAGAGGGGCACCAATGCTGTGACATAGGAGGTTAAGCATCCGCTTCCAGCACCAACATCACATATGGGTACCAGTTCAAATCCTAGCTGCTCCACTTTCGATCCAGCTCTCTGCTGATGGTCTGGGAAAGCAGTAGAAGATGGTCCAAGTACTTGGCCCCCTGCATCCATGTAGGAGACCCAGAAGAAGCTCTTGGCTCCTGGCTCCTGGCTTTGAATCAGCCAGCTCTAGTCATTGCAGCCATTTAGGGAGTGAACCACCAGATGGAAGACCTCCCTCTCTCTGTCTGTAACTTCGCCTCTTAAGTAAATAGATAAATCTTTTTAAAATTAAGACAGAGAATAAGACAGGAAGTAGGAGAAATGGTGGGAGCATGAGCAGGAGGAAGGGTAGAGTGGGAAGTACCACCATGTTCCTGAATCTTTATATATGAAATACTTGAAATTCATTTACCTTAAAAAATATTTTAAAAGTTCTTTCATAAGAATGTCAAAACAGTATTAGGTCTGGCAACAGCATACTAAAGAGAAGAGAGACCAGAGGAACAAAGTGATCATTTGTGCTAGGGTGGCAGTTCAATAAAACAGAGGAAAAAAATTAAGGAGACCCAGAGATATTGCAAAAGAATAATAACTAATTCCATTTAAATTTGAACTCATTTCTATCATCAATATCTTTAAGTGATCTCTGAAAAAAAAATCTGAAACTCATTTGCCCTTCAAAGACTTATGGATGGTAACTGAGAATGAACTATTTAGTAACTATGAGTAAATAAGGCCCTAGTCTTCTAAAGAAGATAATACAGCTACTGAGACTCATGGACTAGATTCTTAACAGAAAACTGACAGAAGAATTGGAGTCATGGCCTGAAATACATTTTTGAACTAGAACTTTTCAACTCAAAGAATTGTCAATGTTGTTTTTCAAAGTAACATCACTTATATATTAGGAAAACTTCATCAAGTTTTCAATTTATATAAGATTCAGAAATATTTCTATTTTTTCTTCCCTAAATAGCCAGTAGAGAAACAGTTCTGAAACTATGTAAGCATTTAAAGTAAAATGAAAAAGGATGAGCAACGTAAAAGATACAGAAAAAAGGAAAGTTTTATGGAAACAGAATATAAATACAAATAAATTGTCCTAAGAATATATCCAACTGGAAATAAAAGCAATAAAAAGGATTAATTTAAGTAAATTTGAACAAAGTTCTCTGATGTGTGATATTGTCTCAAGACAAAATGAACAGCAAAGCAATCGTTAATTTATTTAGCAGATGTATTGTTAATAGTATAGGGTTAATAATTCTATGGTACTTATGATAAAGCAAATGTGATGTTGGGAAATAGAGTGCTCAATATTGTAGAAGGAAGACAAAGGAAACAGAGAAGGTGAGGAAGAATCCTTCAGTATTGGACTCCAAATTGGAGATACCAGAAAGAACATTACATGATATCATATAAATTAAATAAATAAATAAAATAATTTAGTTATATATGAGTAAATCCTTTCCCTAGTCACTAAAAGGAACTAGTTGACATCCCAATAGCAACAACTCTTAGCTCACAGGTCTTGGTTTCTAAATTATCATTTACTACCAAAAGGCACTAAGGGTCCTTGGAAAATGGCTTGTTCTAGGTTTCATGTAGAGAAAACATAAGATTTGTTCAGAACATTTTGTTGTATAGCAAGCAAGAAATTTCTCAAGTAGAATGGGAATGTATCAAAAGAATACAAATCGATCTAGTTTGGAGGACCTTTCTCTCACTGACAAAACTTGTGACTTTGAACATCAGAAAAAAAAAAAAAAACAATGATGGTAGCTGATTTTACAAGACTTAAATTTTAAAAAGAATTTAATTCAGGGGCCAGCGCTATGGTGCAGTAGGTTAATCCTCAGCCTGCGGCGCCGGCATCCTATGTGGGCACCAGTTCTAGTCTCAGCTCCTCCTCTTCCAATCCAGCTCTCTGCTACAGCCTGGGAAAGCAGTAGAAGATGGCCCAAGTTCTTGGGCCCCTGCACCCACGTGGGATACCCAGAAGAAGCTCCTGGCTCCTGGCTTCACATCAGTGCAGCTCCAGCAGTTGAGGCCATTTGGGGAATGAACCAGCAGAAGGAAGACCTTTCTCTCTGTCTCCTCTCCCTCTCACTGTCTGTAACTCTACCTCTCAAATAAATAAATAAAATCTTTTAAAAAAAGAATTTAATCCATAGCAAAATGTAAAAAGGGACAAAATGTGGGCAGTTCTTCTTTACAAAGGATTTCAGCAAACAAATGTAGCAGGAATAATTCAATTAGAAAACAACCTTGTACAGTCACTGTAATAATTGATTTGGGAAGGATCACCAATGGAGGTTTAAACCATTGGGTAAAAATCTGCTGGGGAACAGGATACTCGTTCCATCTCAAAGCATCATACAACATCACACATTGCTTGTACTGCAAAGCAGGAAAGATAGCCTTATAATGGAGACATCTGGCAGATATCACCTCATCACCTTAACAAACAACACTTTGCCTTACCAATGATAGGACAACATGCACAAGTATAACATAATGCAATGGGATGCACACAATATCACCTACATAATAAAAAAGAAACCACTAGTAAAATCCAAATGGTGGAGTATGTCTTAAAAACAACAATGTTATGAAAGAAAAAAATTGCACGAATTATTCTAGATAAAAGAAGAACATGACAGCCAAATTCAATGAGTGATCTTGATTAGATTCTAAGTCATTTAAAAATAAAATCCATTTTCCCACAAAAAATCATATTTAATAAATGTTACATTGCATGAGGGTAATTATGGTATAATTCTTGTGTAAAGAAATGTCCTTGTTATTAAGCAATAAATACTGAATTATTTAGTGGCAAATATCATGTCTACAACTCATTTTTCAGGAAATGTGTCTGTGTATGTATACATATACTAGAGTACTTCAAAAAGCTATGGGGGTGTAGGGAGCTAGAATTGTGGCACAGCAGGTTAAACCGTTGCTTGGGACATCTGCAACTCATATGAATCCAGACTGTTCCACTTTCAATCCAGCTCCCAGCTAACACACCTGGTAGGCAGTAGAGGTGGTTTAAGTACTTGAGCTCCTGCCACCCACGTGAGAGACCTGAATGCAAATAATTGCTCCTGGTTCAGCCCTGCTCATCCCCAGTTTTTGCAGCCACCTGTGGTATGAACCAATGAATGGAAGATAGATCTTTCTCTCTTTCTCTCAGTCCCTGTCTCTTTTTCTCTGTCAGTCTGCCTTTCAAATAAATAAAATAAAAAGAAAGATGTCATGAGTCTGGGGCTATGAGCTTTTAGTCTAGTAGTTAAAGTGCCCCATCCTGCTTTGGAGTGCCTGGATCCAATTTCTGGCTCCAACTCCTGATTCCAGCTTCCTGTGGACTTCTTCAAGACAGCAGTGATGACAAAAGTAATTGGGTTCCTGCCACCCGTGTTGTGGGGAGCAATCTGGACTGGACTGAGTTACTGGAATTAAGACTTATTCTATGCATCTGCTCTCCCACAATATGGCGCAGGGAGAGAAGTAAACAGCTTCTACACAGGTGCCTCCAGTTCAACCAATAAACTGTAGGACTTGCTCCTGATTGGAGAGCAGCGTACTCGGTGTGTGGGCAGCCGAGTTAGGATTGGCAGAGGAGGACTATAAAGGAGGAGAGAGACGGCATGCACCAGGAACATCTATGGGGAACATCTAGCTGAAGGAACACCTGTGCAGCCCCCGAGTAGAGCCGGCTGGCGGTGTGCCGCTCCCCTGCGGAAGTGGGGAATGTGGCCAGGGGGAACTGCCCTTCCACGGAGGTGGAAGGGACGGCAGCCAACCCGGGAAGAACCAGCAGCAAACCCGGGGAGGGCCGAGCAGACGAAAAGAACAGCGCAGGGTCCTGTGTCGTTCCTCCACGAAGAGGGGGAGCGACACGTGTGAGAAAAAAAACATCTGGGGAGTAAATCAGCAGATGGGAGCATCCCTCCTCCTTTCTCTCTCACTCCAGCAATTCCTAAATGCCTGCTTCTTTTTCTACCTTCTTCATAAAGATATTTGTTATTAGTTTCTAGTCAACTATCACCTTTTCCAAGAAGTCACTGCTGACCTTCTTGTCTGACACTGATATTGCCGTGTGTCCACAATACTCTTAGCTCACTTCTTTTTTTTTTTTTTTTTTTAGTTTCAGAACTGATTTCATTTGGATAACTGAGTGAAGGAGTCTCATTTCTAACCAAGATGGAATTCACAGTATGTTAACGTTCACACTTAAAAAAAAAATCAATGTGTACAGGAATCTGCAAGTAGATGTAAATACACATTACTTTCCAAGTATGTTTCTCTCCTACTCCTTGGAGGAAAAAGAAAAATGCCACCCAACATGGTAAACCCTCCAGTATAATCCGAACACAAAGGATGTGCCGTCTGTAAATCAGAGCGGTTCATCTCACGGTGTCACAGGAGAGTGTCACCTAATGGGCATGATGACGACAGCTTGACTTCAGATGGAACTGGACTAAGAACTGAGTTTCCAGGAAAAATAGGCACTGATTTCTAGGAGGAAATTTACTCCTCACTGAAGCTATTTATTGGGCCAATGGGGCTCGTGAACCTTCTCACTCGTAGGAAGTAGCCCAGTGCAGGCAAGACGCAGGACGCCCCTGCAGTCGGCCACCAGAGGTGCTGCCCAGGCCACACTGAAGCCACCCTCCCCATCTTATGCGTGGACCACCCCGATTTCATGACGGGGGTAGAGTCCGACCTCAGGACTGCAACTGTCTAGCATTACACAAGGTACCCTGCTGCTTACCCACTTAAAATAATCTTCAGGTTGGCTAGAAAAACTGGTTAAAAACAAAAGAAAAAAGGCATCATGTTTAACAGGGATCACATTTCAGTTAATTTTTAACACTTAAGAATAACTGTGTATTAATTACAGAATTAAACCAGTCATATTAAGTAGAACAGACAAAAAAACTACTAAGAGGGATAATGTATTAAGTTGTTCATTAACAGTCAGGGCTATGCTGATCAAGTCACCGTTTCCCATAGTGTCCATTTCACTTCAGGAGGTTTCCTTTTTGGTGTTCAGTCAGTTGTCACCGATCAGGGAGAACATGGGAATAAGAGAGGGAAGAGATGTATAATTTGGGACATGCTCAAGCTGACTTGCCCCAAATGGTAGAGTTAGAAACATACCAGGGGATTCCAATTCAATCCCATCAAGGTGGCATGTACCAATGCCATCTCACTAGTCCAAGTGATCAATTTCAGTTCACAGTTGGTCATAATGAAAGGACTAAGAGTCAAAGGGAGCACATAAACAAGTCTAGTACCTGCTAACACTAACCGATGGAATAAATAAAGGGGAGAGTGATCCAACATGGGAAGTGAGATACTCAGCAGACTCATAGAATGGCAGATGTCCTAAATAGCACTCTGGCCTCAGAATCAGCCCTAAAGGCATTCGGATCTGGCTGAAAAGCCCATGAGAGTATTTCAGGCATGGAAAGCCAAGACACTCTGGCAAAAGATCTCTGCGAGTGAGATCCCAGTGGAAAGAACAGGTCTTCAAAGAAGGAGGTACCTTTCTCTGAAGGGAGGAGAGAACCTCCACTTTGACTATGACCTTGTCTAAACAAGATAAGAATCGGAGAACTCAGAGGGCTTCCATAGCCTTGGAAACTCATGACTGGAGCATAGGGAGACTATTGATGCCATAGACAGGAGTGTCAATTGGTAAAGTCAACAACAGGAGTCACTGTGCACTTACTCCTCATGTAGGATCTCTGTCCTTAATGTGCTGTACACTGAGGCTTAATGCTATAACGAGTACTCAAACAATATATTTCACTTTGTGTTTCTATGGGGGTGCAAACTGTTGAAATCTTTACTTAATGTATACTAAACTGATCCTCTGTAAAAAAAAAAAAAAAAAAAGAAATTATCAACTCCCAACTTGACTCTCACTGGGATTAAACATGACAATAGGTCTGATCTGATTTCATCATCATTTTAAAAAAATCATCTATTATTTTTCACTTTATGTTTCTGTGTGGGAGCAAACTGTTGAAATCCTTACTTAATGTATACTAAGCTGATCTTCTGTATATTAAGATAATCGATGGCCGGCGCCGCGGCTCACTAGGCTAATCCTCCGCCTAGCGGCGCCGGCACACCGGGTTCTAGTCCCGGTCGGGGCGCCGGATTCTGTCCCGGTTGCCCCTCTTCCAGGCCAGCCCTCTGCTGTGGCCAGGGAGTGCAGTGGAGGATGGCCCAGGTGCTTGGGCCCTGCACCCCATGGGAGACCAGGAAAAGCACCTGGCTCCTGGTTCCTGCCATCGGATCGGTGCGGTGCGCCGGCCGCAGCGCGCCGGCCGCGGCGGCCATTGGAGGGTGAACCAACGGCAAAGGAAGACCTTTCTCTCTGTCTCTCTCTCTCACTGTCCACTCTGCCTGTCAAAAAAAAAAAAAAAAGAGTTCAAAGATAATCGAAAATGAAAAAAAAAAAAAAAGGCATCATGTTATCTCATCCAGGCCACTCACCCTAGCCCCCCGACAGGCAGCATGTGGGGCAGAGGGATGGGTGGGGGCATGGGTGGCTGCCCTCCAGGGGGGATAGTGGGAGGTGGGTAGCTAGCCGGTGGCAGGCCCAAGCCTGGAGGAGGGTAAGGGGGCACTTCGTGAGTTGGGGGCAGGTATGGGGGTGGGGGTGGGAAGTTGGGTTGTACGTGGGTAAGGTGGGCAGTAGCCAGGAGTTGGGGAAGGAGTGGGGTTGAGGGAAGGAGGCTGGGGAAGGGGGTACAGGCAGTGGGGGCGGGTTTGGGGGTAGACAGGAGGGTGGTAGGGCAGGTGACTTAGCTCACTTCTATTCCAACATATTTATTAATCTTGACTGCTATAGTTGGCTTACTGAACCAGAAGCTCAAGTACATGCTGTCTGACTTGTACCAATCTTCATAAGATACCTGGATCTTGGTAGGCACTTAGCATTTTTTTCATTAAATTAGCAAGATTCCAATAATTTATTATAACTCAAACAAGTATAATTAATTAAACTATTTTAGAAGGTTATTAACTGATTTTATATGAAAGTATAAACCGGTAATGAAAGGTATCTATTGATATTAATCAGAGAAGAAAAAATAACTAACTTTATCCAGAAAACAATCAACAAGAATACAATTTACAAATTAAACTGGCTCTGTATTTGAACTTGACTTAAAATTCATTCAGAACGGTTATTTGCTTTGATGACTGTTACCTTGCAATTGGTCAAGAAGCACGATGGCAACTCGGTGCTGAGCTTGAATTAATTCAAGATGCAAATCCATCATGAAACTGTTGGCTGTGATTGATTTGTAAGTGTCTCCAGCTGCATCTTTGGAGCACTTTGGTCCAGCAGATTTGTTATAAAAAGAAAAAGAAATATAGTTATAAAAACAGACAAAAAACTGCTGTATTCTATTAGCACTCAAGTTATACTCATCTTACTTATAGTCATTAAATTCTGTTCACTTCTGAATCCTCTGTAATTGGTTTACACACAACAAATACGCTCTTAGAATTCACCAGTGTCCCCTTCTTTGACAAATTCAAAGACTCCTCACGCTCCTTGATTTATTCTGGGAAGACAGGACTCTATTTCTGGCCTGAGAGGAAAGCCACCGCAAATCGTGTTTACTTACCTACTGGCAAGGCCAGCACTTTTCCTACTTAAGCAAAGCTTTAATCTAATGTAAGATTTTTCCATTTTTACCTTGGCGTAACAGTGGTCAATTACTGATGATCCATTTGGCAAAGTAGTTAACATGCAATTCAAATTTATTCCATCAATTGCTTTGTCAAGAAGTTCATAAGCAAAAGATAACAGCTCCATGGGTTTTTTCTAAAATAATTTTATAAACAAAAAAGAAAAAGAAAATGTGAGGAAAAATCATATGCAAAATTTTCAAACTCTTTTTTGTTAAAAAATCAAGACCAGCAGTGGGGGCTTGGCATAGCGGTTAAGACTGTTGAGACATTTGTTGAGACACCCACAACCCATATCAAAGTGCTGGGGTCTGAGGCCTAGGTTAACTTCTGATTGCAGTTCCCAACAAATGCAGACCCTGAGAGATAGCAAGTGACTGCTCAAATACTTGGGTCCTTGCCACCCACATAAGAGTCTCAGATGGAGTTTCAGGCTTCTAGCTCAGGCGTAGGCCAGCTACCCCAGATACTTAGGGGCTGGCATCGTGGTGTAGTATTAAACTGTTGCTGATGACACTGGAAGCCCACATTGGAGTGTTGGAGTTGTAGTAAAAGACCCAGCTACTCAACTTCCAATCCAGCTCCCTACTAATGTGCCTGGGAAAGCAGTAGATGATGCTCCAAATACTTTGATCTCTGCCACCCATGTGGGAGACCAAGACAGAGTTCTTGGCTCCTGGCCTCTCCCTGGCCAAGCCCTAGCCATTGTGGTAATTTGGGGAGTGAAACAGCAGATGGAAGATATCTCTTTCTGGTCATATGGGGAGTGAACCAGCAAATGGAAGATCAATCTCTCAAATAAAAATAAATATTTTTTAAAATCTAGAAATTTAAATAGTTGATTTAACATAAACAATATTATTTTTCTTACTAAATTCATCTATTTTTTATTTACTGTGAATATAATCAGTAAAAGTGAAGATAATAAATTTCATTTTTCTAAACATAAGCTTTTCACAAGCATGCACAGAACTTCCACTTACTGTTTTCAAAATGCTCATTAAACCAAATATACAGGTGAATTTTAAAAATAGAGCTCACATAATTTGGCCTTTTCATATCCATAATTTGAAAAGCTGACTTTTTGTTAAATCTCAGAATCATAGAGCTGGAAATTTAGACTTAAAGCCCATCAAACCCAAGAGTCTACATGGTGATTTCTAAAAACTAAACATCTTTTGAAGGTAATTATTCTCACAAACGTAGAAAAGACAAAGGGCAACATCTTTCAAATTTTCCATATTTTTTCAAGAATTTGTTAGGGAATAAAGCATACATGTACATAATTGTAACTTCCTATAATGTTATTCCTCTCTTCTGCCCCTAGAGGTAGCACTGTCCTTGGATTTGGTTTTACCATTCTTTTCCATGTTTTTAAATTTTACTGCATGTGTCCTGAACAATATGCAATATCACTTTCCATATTTTTTAAAATTTCTCTTACAAAAGGCTGCTTTCTTCATTCAACTGTATGCTACTGAAACTTATTCATGCTGGTGTTCGTGACTCAATGGATTGCCCAGGGCTTGTTTATGAAAATAGAACTACTCCAGATACTTCAAGTAGAAAAGGACTTAATGCAAAGACATAGAGGTACCCATAACAGTTGGAAGGCAAAGATCAAGACAGCTGTCGGTGAAAATTGTGTTTCATGCGATTCTCAAGGGCTCCCTCAGAATCCTCTGCAGTTCACAACCTTAAGTACCTCCTGCCCTGACACAGGTGAATTGCAAGACCTTGCTCAGCACAGCTTGTAAATTCACACATCCCAAATAAGTATGCTGTTTTCTCTGCACCACACATTCAGGCAAATGCCCCTTATTAAAAGACTAACCTAGAACCATATGGAAAAAAGATGCTGTAAATATTATTTCAAGAGTCCACCCTGTAATTCAGAGGTGATTATAGAAGGGAATTGTAATGATGCCAAGCTGACTCTAGTTCAAATCTACTGTAAGTTAATAATCTTCATAGCTACAATGAAGTAGTGTTAACTTGAGGAATATATCACAACTTATTAATTCACTCTTCTACTGATGGACATCTAGATGGAGGTTCTGTTGATTTTCATCCCAAATGGGCATGGCACTGTACTGTAGTCTCCCTAAAGCTTCTCAACCGTAATTGATGGTTTGGGGCATGATGTCTGTCTCCAAGAGCTGCGGTGGGGAGGGGGGCCTTTAGTGGCCCAAGAGCATGTGGTGTTCATAGCAGTTGGGTTGGAACAACCACTGTGTGGCCATTCTGGTTGTAGAGCACATTGGGTGGTGCTCCACTGCTGGTGGGGACTTCTAACAATGGTAGCCCTGAGGGCACAGAGATGTGTTGTGTGCACCCTCAGTGGCTACAGGCTGTGCATGGCCCTTGCTCGAACTGAGAGCTGCATGGGCCAGCCACAAGAGTCAGGGGCAGCAGCCAGTGGAGGGTGACAGGCCCCAGGTTCCAAAGTGCTATCTTCCAGGTTCTAGGAGCAGCACCCTTCCCCTCACTGAGCTGACCCACTGTAGTGTACACCACTGCATGGGGTTCAGCACTGGGGTCACAGTTGTGTTGCTGGGTCGAGTTGGATCTGTGAGACTGTAGCTTCCTGGGCTAGCATGGTGAGGTGTCTGTGGGGGCCCAAGAACAGGGATAGGCAGAGGCTGCTGTCCTCTATGGAGGTATGAATTCTGACAGCAGCAGCTCCATTCTTAATAGAGTGGTAAACTGCAGAGGGCTGGGTTCTCAAAATGCTGTGAGCCAGATACTGGTTTGCCTCTTCTCTGTAGGGGAGCAGGAGAGTACTGGGCACCTCTACTAGGCCATCTTTGAACCCCTGCTCTTCCTTTATTAGTCACCTGTCTAAGACCTCCAGGGCAGGTTGAACAGAATAATAGATATCCTTATGTAGTTGTATCAGAATAAAAAGACTGCTTTTAACCTTTTCTCATAACTTCACTGAAGGTCTTTAGATGATACCCTTTGTCAGATACAGAAGCTTTCTTCTATTCCTAACTAGTAAGTTATACTCTTAAAGGGAGATTCTTGCATCTGTTTGTCTAGTGAAGTAGTCATATTTTTTCCTTTCATCTGCTAATGTGATATAGCACGTTACAGAATTTCTAATGTTAAATCACACTTGCATTGCATATATAAAATTGGATTATACTTGTATATGCCCATTCAAGATGTGGGCTCACAGAGGTTCCTAAGAAAACAAGTAGTGTAAATTGAAATAAGAATCCTACTTGCGGGAAGGCCCAAGGTTATAAATCATTAGAAGGAGAGACTCTCCCATCCACTCTCCTCAGTACCCAAGCCATCTCCCTACACAAACAGGCTGATTTTTTTTCCTGTCTACCTTTCCCTAGGATGTAGTCTTTTGTAGATTCCAACTTTATGCTAAAACTGCATGTTGTCTCAGTGCCGATCCCCTCTCATGTGCCCGGGCCTCATCTCTTGTCCCTGGATGGCTGTTAAAATACGGAAACTTCTTTGTAGCTACACTCACCAACCTCCCACAGCACCTACTCCTAAACTTACTACTCTGGTCTTGCTGCTCTGGTTTCCAGTTCCCCTTTCTATTTTGGCCCCAGGATTTACTTTACGGTCTTGTGAGCTCTCATTGTACTTGAAGAAATTTCTTCAGGTCTGTCTGATATCTCAGTGTTTTCTAGCAAGTGCATTTTTTAAACCATCAAGTTTGCCATTTTGCCAGAAAAAGAAGTCTCTGAGAATATCTTTCTAACATCAAAAAATGTCAAAGGCCTCACATACACCCACATTCTATCATCATCTTCACCACCATCATTAATTATCTTTATTACCATCTCCATCATCACCATCACAGCTAGTAGTTAATTAAAACATGTTCCAGGTACTGGGCTTAAAGCTTTGTTTACACTAACCTTTTAATTGCTATAGTCCTAAAATGCAGATATTCATTAGTTATTGTAATTTTATAACCCATTTGTTGAAGAAATAGATGTTATGTGTCCAGTAAAAGTTTAAAATAGTTGTATGTCATGTAATTACAATAGCATCTGGTATTTTAAAAATAATGGCATGAACAAAGGGTTTTCAAAAAGTCCATGGAAAATTCATATTATGAAAAGGCTATGCATCGATTTCAAATTTTTGCCACTATAAAAAATGTATCTTTTAATTACATTTTTCCATAAACTTTTTGAAATCCAACACATATATGCAAAATATACAAATTTATCTGACCTAAAGATTCTGCTAGATGAGAAAATGAATCTCCTTACAATACATTTTCACTCTTTTCCCCCACTTTGCTCCCCTTCCAGTGAATTTAAGAATCTTAAGTTGAGGGGCCAGCACCATGGCTCACTTGGTTAATCCTCCACCTGCGTTGCCGGCATCCCATATGGGCGCCAGGTTCTAGTCCCAGTTGCTCCTCTTCCAGTCTAGCTCTCTGCTGTAGCCCGGGAAGGCTGGAGGATGACCCAAGTGCTTGGGCTCCTGCACCTGCATGGGAGACCAGGAAGAAGCACCTGGCTCCTGGCTTCAGATCGGCACAGCGCCGGCCGTAGTGGCCATTTGGGGAGTGAACCCACGGAAGTAAGACCTTTCTCTCTGTCTCTCTCTCTCTCTCTCACTGTCTATAACTGTACCTGTCAAATAAATTTTAAAAAATTTAAAAAAAGAATCTTAAGTTGAGATTCAATGCTCCATATAGAACATGCATAGCTACAATGTGTTCTGGTTTTCACAATGTCACCAATATTTCATTTAAATTGTATATCAACCCAGTGGAATAGGTATATTATTAAAAGCCAATCAATGGGGCCAATGCTGTGGTGCAGTGGGTTGATGCCCTGGCCTGAAGCATCAGCATCCCCTATGGGTGCCAGTTCTCGTGCTGACTGCTCCACTTCCAATTCGGCTCTCTGCTATGGGCTGGGATGGCAGTGGAGGATGGCCCAAGTCCTTGGGCCCCTGCACCTGTGTGGGAGACCCGAAAGAGGTTCCTGGCTCCTGGCTTCGGATCGGCACAGCTCCGGCCATTGTGGCCAATTGGGTAGTGAACCAGCAGATGGAGGACCTCTCTCTCTCTCTCTCTCTCTCTCTCTCTCTCAAAAAAAGAAAAACTAGTATTACAATGCCTGATATTTAGGACACCAGTTAGTCCTAGCTGTGGGGGAAGGCAGTGTGATTAGGAGAGGTTAGTACAAGAGGTGAGTTCCATCTGCATGGTTGGCCCTGAGCATCCATGGGTTTCATCTCACTGGTTCAACCAATCACAGATTGGAAACACTCAGGGGGAAAAACTGCATCTGTATTGAACGAGTGCAGACATTTTTCCTTGTCATTATTCCCTAAACAGTATGATATAACAACCATTTATGCAGCATCCAAATGTGTTAGGTATATGTACAAGGTGGAAATGATTTAAAGTATACAGGAGAATGGGCGTAGGTTACATGCTATTTTATACAGGGGACATGAACATCCTCAGAGTTTGTTAGCTCCAGGGGTCCTGGGACCAATCCCCCACAGATGTACAGGGACAACTGTCCTATGAACATTTTGTTTCTTGGCCAGCATGTGAAGCATGAGTCTTCATTATAATATCATTTATGATTTTCTCTTCTATTTTAAATGGATTTTTTCAAGAAAATACAGTAACTATGAGGATCAAAATTTAGCAACAAAGCATTGATGAAATAACACTAAGAAAAAGCATCAGGATGCTATTATGTTAATAAAGAAATATGAGACAGACTAGTAGAGAACATAGAAAAATGATATTTAGGTCATAAAATTACATACGTTTTTCTTCAGTTTTTATATCTCGAAGTATCCTCCAACATACATTCATAATATTATATTTTAGGAATTAAATCAGGCAAACCAAACCACAGTTCACCATGTTTTCTCTCTAGAAAAGTACTTTTCAACTAGAATCCATAGAGTAGACATATCCTAAACAGGTTTTCCATGATGGGTGAAAGGGGTTCCATACTCAAATAATGGAACATAGGTTGTCCTATATCGCCTCCCTGGAAAATCACAGGCTCACAACAAACCAATGATTCTGAGAGGCCTCACAGTAAAGAAAGCTATTGTATTTAATCCAAATCACTCAGGATTGCTTGGCCATGCCAGTGCCATCACTATCTGTAACACAGCGCGAGTATCACAGAGTGTACAGAATGCTGTTCTAGACTTTGCCTATAAATAAATGTGTGTTATGAATATGAGGCAGTTCCCCAAAATCCCATTCAGCTCTACAGAACAACACCATCCACAATACTCAGAAATAATTCAAATACTCATATCGTTAAAAAAAAAGTATACTGAAGAAGAGGAACAGCCACTCGTCTCCCCCAGCTCCCATCTCCTATCAAGCAAACGCTTACTGAGAAGCTTCCATGTGCCAGAAACTGTCAACAGTACTTAAACAGGTAGGAACTCATTCAACCCATCAAAGGCATATGCTGAATAGAACATCACTGCCCTGTAAGACTATCAATCACATACATTCAAAACATCAGAGAAAACGTAACTATGAGTACTTTCAAGATATTTTATCTAGTTAATTCTTAGTACTGACTAGATTTTTTTTCTAGAGAAAGCAAAGGGCAGAAAAAGTCCCTGTAATTCTGTTTAAAGATACCACACATTTTTAAATACTAAATATTCAAAATTATTTCCATAATGAGCCATTATGCATTTATAAATTTCATATTATCTGAAAATAAAAATTAACATTTTGAGTGTTATAATACCTTTAATATTGGAAGAATTTCAGGGATCCCCTTTGGAGTCCCCAGGGATTCTTCAGTAGCTTTTCTTGAAGACAAATCTGGAAAAGAAAGAAAAGAGAGAAAGGGAAAAGGAGGAGGAGGGGGGAAAGGAAAAATAAGAAGAGGAGAAGAGTATAAGACAGAGGAAGAAACAAAGGGAAAGAAGGGGGAACCAGAGGAAAGAAAAGGAGGAGACAAATGGAAATGTAACCGTGAATGATAATCATGAAAAACATTGTGCTCAGCTGGTTATCTTTTTAATTACTCATGATATTAAGTCCAACATTTTAGAACTGAGTATATACCAAATTGTTTCTTCCATGTAACTATTACATTCAACAGCATCTTGCAATACAACAAACCAAATCAAGAATCATGTTTACAATAACCCAATACAATGTACAGAGATTGATCTTCCAATATATTCTACAAATCCATTTGAAAGCATTCAGAAAATAATAGCATAAAAGCCTAAAGTTTGGACAAGTATCAGAAAAGACAAGTTTAAGTCAGAGGAATACAAATATAAATGTTTATAAGGCAATGTTGGTTTTCTATTTTAAATTTTTTAATAATTCAAACTGAATGATATATTACTTAATAAACAGCCTGATAAACATCTTGAAGCAGATTGTCATAATATAAATGAATGATTTGCACTGTATGTTTTATGTGCCAATAAAGTGAAAAAAATAATATTCTTAGGAAAGTAATAAGCATTTAAATATATAAATGGGGCAATCCCTCATTACATAAATATAGATGTTTTTGAATTTATAAATGGATTATACTCCAATTAGTACTTTAGAACTTAAACACGAAAAAGGACTGATACCTTGTCTTTAGCCCATTCCTACTCAGACAATTAAAATAATAATATCCTAAAAGTAACAAGCAAACCAAACAATATAATTGAATAAGAAACAGATTTTTTCAAAAAGTAATCACTGGGCCTTTTGCCTCCAGTAATGAGTAATCTGGGAAAATTCTCCTGATTGTGGAAAAGCTGGAAAGTACACTTTTTAAAAAATCTACAAGTTAAGAAGACAGTGGAAAAAAAATTCAGGACCAGGATATTGGAAAGGGATACAGAGCATACACAGCGGCATTAGAGCTACTTCTCCCACTTGGGACTTACATCAGTTCCACAGGGGAAACTGAGAAGCTGAATAGTCCTTTTGACAGCCCGGAGGAGCTAAAGTAACAAGAATTGGGATTCAGGGCCCAACAAGGATAAGAGACAGAAGGGGCTGCCTTCAGGAGTTAGGCTGAACTGAAAGTAGGTCTTCAAGGACAGAACATCTCAGTTTCAAAATATCTCTAAAATTGGAATTAAAGGATCCAAAGAATTAGTGTCTTCATGCATCTAGTAAAAGCAAGTATAAATCTTCTCTGAAAGAAATCATTGTCCAAACCTTCAAATTCTTTCTACAAGATATTAAGCAAATAAAATGTCCGTCACACACTCAAAAAATAACCAGAGTAACAAAAAAGTTGATGATAAAAGTTCTTCACTGAAGAATTCAATATAATAAAGGCAAATGGAATGATAGAAATTAGTAGTAGCCCTTCCAGCTTCTCACCTTCACTCCCAGAAGCCTTCAAGAGAGGACAACAAAAGTGGTTTAAATACCCTGTCTCCCAGCTCTCAGAGGCACATGCCATATAGTCTCCCAGAGGACCCACAAGGAAGTAAGCCCTGAACCCACAAACAGCTGTTTGCTCATTAACTCTCTGTACTTTGACAGGCTTCCTTCCTGCCCTGTAACACTTTTCCATTCCCTCACTGTGCTTCCCTGGAGAAGATCCCAAATGAACTACTTCAATCAAATTACTGTCTTAGAATCTGCTTCTCCAGGTGGCCACATGGCCCAACCGCTGGTGACAAGCTCCACCTCCACCCTGATGGGATTCGCTGCTCTTACTTCCCTGTCCACCCCCTGGCAAAGTTTTCAAAGGACCTGTTCCTGAACACCCATCTCCCTCTCTCCCTCTCTCCCTCTCTCCCTCTCTCCCTCTCTCTCTCTCTCTCTTCCCCTCTCTCTCTCCTCTCTCCCTCTCTCCCTCTCTCCCTCTCTCCCTCTCTCTCTCCCTCTCTCTCTCTCTCCCGCTCTCCCTCCTCTCTCTCTCTGTCTCCTGATCTCTCTATCTCTCTCTTGCTCTCTCTTATGCTCTCCTTCTGCCTCTTTTCCTTCGTCGCCCCTTCCCTCCAATCTGTCAGTTTCCCCCAATAAACCTTTCCCTTAAAAAAAAAAAAAAAAAAAAAAAAAAAAAAAAAAGAATCTGCTTCTAAGGAACTAGCTTAGGAAAACAGCCCAGCTGACAACACCTGAACTCAGGGATAAATCTGTACAGCACAAAAGGTGGGACAACCAAGCATTACACGCTTCTAGATTCAAGGCAATAGAGAGTAAATGGCAAGACCTATGGAGTATTCTCACCAAAAAATAATTGGCAAGAATTCGCTTTGACAAGATATCACTTGAATCTCAGTTAGCCCTCAGATGTGACTACCAGGCAGAGAAACAAGTTAACCAAACAAGGAAGCAAATAGCCAATTCCATAATATGGGAATCCTTCAGGAAAAGACAGTTTCTTTAAAAAAAAAAAAAAAAAAAAGCCTTAAAAGGAAGTGAGAAAGGAAGACATTTTAATGTAATCAGGGACATGGAAATTACTACTAATTTTGTAAGGTATAATAATAATAGTGCTGTGGTTCTGTGTAAAAACAATCCTTATCTAAAAGAGAAAGAGAGAGATAGTCATTGCTGAAATGTCATGATGTCTGCTTTAAAACACTCTAGGGAGGGAAAAGTGTCCCAGAGAGAGATGAATTAAGATTGGGGAAATGTTAATAATTATTTGTGCTGGGATAATGGATCTAAGTGACTTATTTCCTCTCTCTACTTTATATCTGAAATTCTGTATAAAACAAGTTTTAAAAACGAGAAAGGCATTTTAAGACATTTCAGTATAATGAATTCAGTGGCTGGCGCTCTGGCACAGTGGGTTAATTCCCTGGCCTGAAGCGCCCGCATCCCATATGGGTGCCAATTCAAGATCCAGCTGCTCCACTTCCGATCCAGCTGCTATGGCGTGGGAAAGCAGTAGAAGATGGCCCAAGTCCTTGGGCTCCTGCACCCACATGGGAGACCCAGAAGAAGTTCCTGGCTCCTGGCTTCGGATCAGCACAGCTCCAGCCATTGCGGACATTTGGGGAGTGAACCATCGGATGGAAGACCTCTCTCTCTCTCTCTCTCTCTTTTTGCCTCACCTCTCTCTGTGTAACTCTGACCTTCAAATAAATAAATAAATCTTTTAAAAAAATGAATTCAGGCCACTGAATGTGTTAAATGACTGAAGACCCCCAACCTGGGCTAACATTCACTTGGGAAGCTAATGAAGGTGAGAACAATCTCTGCCAGCTGAACTATGACCAAAAGAGCCTGGGTCTTAGAGTTTAAACAAGTCCCCAGGCAGTGCCTGCAGCAATCAAAGTTTGAAAACCACAGCTCTAAGACTCCATTTGCAAAGCCACACTCAACTACTGAGGACAAGCAGAGCCACATTAGTGAATCTCTGGAGCAATGATTATTTGATTACAAAGTCCTCCAAATGTCACACAGACTCTGCAAGTGGGATGAAACGGCAAAGTGAAACTACACCATGGACATCCACACCTCATTCTCTACCTGTGAGTTTCCCAATGAAACAGACAGTTCAGAGCTTTGACCATCTTTTGAGAGACAGCATCTCCTGGAAGGAGGAGAGTGATGGCAGACAGGGAGAGTAGGAGAGTGTATAAGAAATGAGTGCAAAAAGAGGTCAGTGGGGGCTGGCAGTTAATACACACGTTAGAACACCGTGCTCCGTGTCAGAGTGCTTGTGTTCAACTCCCAGCTCTGGCTTCTGACTCCAGGTTCCTACCAGCGCCAACCCAGGGAGCAGCTGTGATCGCTCAAGCAGCTGAGCTCCTGCCACCCACATGGCAAACCTGGATTGAGTTCCTGACTCCTAGCTTTGGCCCAAACCAGCCTTGGCCACTGCAGTAATTTGGGGAGTGACCCAGCAGATGGGAGCTTGCACACACTCTCTCTTTCTCTTTCTCTTTCTCTTTCTCTTTCTCTTTCTCTTTCTCTTTCTCTTTCTCTTTCTCTCCCCCCCCTTCTCAAATAAAAACAAATACATATTTCTTAAATAGGATAAGGAAGAAAAACAGAAGAAATGAAGAAAGAAGAATTAGAAGAGAGAATAATAAATGAGAAAAAAGGTAGAAGGATATTCATCCATTCAACAAATATTTAAACTGCCTCCCTGTGTGGGTATCAAGAATACAATGGTGGGGCTGGCACCGTGGTGCAGTAAGTTAATCCTCTGCCTGCGGCACTGGCATCCCATATGGGTGCCGGTTCTAGTCCCAGCTGCCCCTCCTCCAATCCAGCTCTCTGCTATGGCCTGGGAAAGCAGTAGAGGATGGCCCAGTGCTTGGGCCCCTGCACCTGCGTGGGAGACCAGGAGGAGGCTCCTGGCTCCTGGCTTCGGATCGGCGCAGCTCCGGCTGTTGTGACCATCTGGGAAGTGAACCAACAGAAGAAAGACCTTGCTCTCTGTCTCTCCCTCTCACTGTCTGTAATTCTGCCTCTCAAATAAATAAATATTTATTTAAAAAAAAAGTACAATGGTGACCAAAAAAACATTTTCTTCCTTCAAAAAACATTCACCCTTATGAGAAATGGAAGAGAAAAAATTATGAAAGAGAATAAAAGAAAGAGAAAAATAGAAAGAATGAGAGAGGGGAGAGCAAAAGAGGTATAGGTGGCAATTAATAGAGATATATGAGCGAGGAGACAACAAAAAGTATTGCCTGCCACTTAAACCATGGAGCATATAACATTCTTTGCATCCACTTGATGAAACCTGTGTTATCTCCAATTATAAATCATCAAGAAGCACAACACTGAAATGCCTAGTTTCCATTAACACAAGTTAGCTTCTGTTCTAATTTACACTTATGTTTTTCTTTTTATGTATGCATATATTAAAAATCTCATACTTTTTCATTCAATATTTTACCTAAATTTTTAAATTTTCTTTGTGGGCTTCCTAGATTCTCCAGTATTTCACTTAATCGTAGTGTGACCTCTGCCACCACCACCACATCAATGTCTTCCATCTTACAGGAATGAATGACTTCATTTATCTGCCACAGAAGATAAACCCACTAAAAAGAGAAAATACACACCCAAATCAATTAAGAGTATATTGCACTGTAGAGGAGTCACATTCTTCAAACCTTAGTACTTCCTTAAAATGACCATCCTCAGGACCAGGGCTGTGGCGCAGCGGGTTAAAGCCCCGGCCTGCAGCCCTGTGGTGCTGGCATCCCATGTGGGCACTGGTTTGAGTACCAGCCACTCCATTTCTGAGCCAGCTCCCTTCTACTGTGCCTGGAAAAGCAGTGGAAGATGGCCCAAGTGCTTGGGCCCTTGAATCCACATGAGAAATTCAGAAGAATCTCCTGGTTCTTCGGATCAACTCAGCTCCAGTTGTGGCCATTTAGGGAGTGAACCAGCTGATGGAAGATCTCTCTTGATCTCTCCCCCCCCCTCCCCGCCCCTTCTCTCCATAACTCAGCCTTTCAAATAAATAAAATAAATCTTAAAAAAAAAAAAAAAAAAAAAAAAAGACTGCTTGGAATGCCTTCATCCCATATCAAAGTGCCTGGTTCCAGTGCTGGCTACTCTGCTTCCAATCAGCTTCCTGCTTACGCATACCCAGGCAAGCAGTAGGGATGGACTCAAGTACTTGGGTCCCTCCTACTCAATTAGCAGACTCAGGCTGAGTTCCAGGCTCCGGGCTTTGGCCTGACCCAGAACTTGCTGGTGCAGGCATTTGAGTACTAAACTAGAAGATAAAAGATTGATCTCTATCCACCCCCACCTTCAAATAAAATTCTAAAAATAAATAAAACTTTATTCAAGTAGAATAAAACTTTTTCAAAGTAGTATTGTGGTGGGGGGAAAAAATGACCATCCTCTAATAATATGAAAATGTCATGCAGGTACCTCCTCCTTTCATTAATGCATCTTAATTTTAAATAATATAAAAATCCTCTAAAAATGATATTTAATAACTAGTCTGCTATATAAATTCATAAAGAAGATTCATTTAAACTTATAGCCTATATATCTATGGCCACAATGGCAAATGGATGATCTGTTCTTTTTATGTAGCAATAAACAGTATCTCTATCCTCAAAGTTCTCATTCTCTCTTTGAAGTGAGAGTTATGATCACCATTAAAGTCCTCCAAATCAGTGAGGAGACTCTGGGGTTTCATACTCCATACCAGGAGCCTTAGAAACTGTCCTGCATGCCTATATCCCCAACAATTAGCACATAAAACCAGTCATCACATTTGGGGATCTAAGATAACAAAAAATATTCATGCACTCACATCTTAACAGGAACAGGTGACAAAAGTCCTAATAGAGCTGATCTCAGGAGCCTTAGAACCACTGGAGCTAAAATCTTTGTTGGTACTAAAGTATTTTTTCCATGTTTCCCAGTTATAATACTCAAATGCTCAATTTCTTCCTTCCCATAGAACAGCTCTCTTAAATCATCTAGCCATATTATTGAAGGAAAGAAAAACTTAAAATCCTTGCTTACTTGTATTCTGTACTACTAATCTTCCTAACAAAGTTATCCAAGCTCATGTGACCTACAACTCACTATGTTCATTCCTCTGTTTAAAGCCTGACCCACCAAAACAAATAAAAGTGGGGCAGGGGTACAAGAATGCACATTAAAGGAAAGGCTCACTCAGCATAAAGAAGAACATCTTAACAAATACATATGCAAATTATACTAGTTATTCAAGTAGATAAATGGATAATATAATGCAAAAAGCAAAAAAGAGATACTTTGTTAGTACTGATTTTCAGGGTGAATTTTGCATAATCACTTCCAGTCATACTGAATCGCTGAATTCCTAATTTGCATTTCTGCCACAGGAACATTATCATGTCCACGATGATTTCTTTATCAGGCAGAACATCCTGAAAAGAAGAGTGATAAAGCTAATGAGTAAGAATAATAAGCTAAACTAACATCTACTGTGTGCCAGGTTCTACTCTAAGAGTTTTATATATACAACTCACTCAATCCTCCTAACAACCCCAAGAGGTGAGTGACTAGTACTTTTACTCCCACTTGACGGATGAAGTACTACTGAAGGTATTATTACTCTCATCCCCACTTCACAAACTGAAAAACAAGGAGATGAAGTGAGGTGATTTTTCCCAAAATGAAATGACCAGAAAGAAGCAGGTCAGAGGAATATGAACCCAATAGTACAGCTCTAGAGTTGTCATTTGTAACACACACTTTCTTTATGTTACTTCTGCCTCTCTAAAAAGACCCAGACATTTGTAGACACGTATGAAAACCAGTTAGTCCCATCCAACTTTGAAATTTATATATACTGTTCTCTAAGACTCCTGCATTTAGCTAACAAAGAATTGGGAGGGCAGATAAACTACTAACCCAACTGGAATTGTGGGGAGCAACCCGGACTGGACTGAGTTACTGGAATTAAGACTTATTCTATGCATCTGCTCTCCCACAATATGGCGCTGGGAGAGGAGAAAACAGCTTCTACGCAGCTGCCTCTTGCCAACTTGAGTGATGACCTCCAGGAGCTGATCCTGCTCCTGATTGGAGGAGAGCAGCGTACTCGGCGTGTGGGCAGCTGAGTTAGGATTGGCGGAGGAGGACTATAAAGGAGGAGAGAGACGGCATGCACCAGGAACATCTAAGGGGAACATCTATCTGAAGGAACACCTGTGCAGCCCCCGAGAGAGCCGGCCGGCGGTGTGCCGCTCCCCGGCGGAAGTGGGGAATGTGGCAGGGGGAACCGCCCTTCCACGGAGGTGGAAGGGTCGGTAGCCAACCCGGGAAGAACCAGCAGCAAACCCGGGGAGGGCCGAGCAGACAAAAGAACAGCGCAGGGTCCTGTGTCGTTCCTCCATGAAGAGGGGGAGCAACAGGAATGAGAACAGGAAGCGGGGAAAGGATACAGACAAGAAGTACAGGCAGAAACTAAACACAGCTTCACATTGAGCATCCATAAATTATTCATAGGACAGCTCCTAGGCTCTTTGCAAAGAAAACTAAAGTTATTCATTATATCTGAACTAGAAAGATAAGGGATTTCTGATGAAAACATACCAAACTCCGGGGTGGTCATTTAGCCAACCAGTTAAGACGCAGGTTAAGATGCCTATATCCCACTTCCAAGTCCCAGATCTGGCTCCTGACTCCAGCTACCTGCTAATAATACAGGCTCTGGGAGGCAGGGATGATGGCTCAAACGACTGGGTTCCTGCCACCCACTCAGGAGATCTGGATTGAATTCCCACCTCCTAGCTTTGGCCTGACCTAGCCCCTACAGGCCTTTGGGAAGTGAACAGGAGGTAGCACATTCTCTCCTATTTGATCTCTATCTCCCTTTTGCAAATAAAAAAAATAAATAAATAAAAATAAAAAAACAGAAAAAGAAAGGAAGAAATATATATACCAAGGTTTGAGCTCCTTTGACAGCTATAAAACTTAATTTGAAATATTTATCACCTTTAGGACAAGACTTAGGAACATAATGAAGATCAATAAATGTTCAGTTGAAACTGAACTCAGATATATGTGATTTTTATAAAAAACAGAAGTCTATTACCCTTTTAAACCTTGTTTGTAATTTTTTGGCCCTCCCACTATACATTTTCTGCTGAATATCTTGCTTTCAAAAATTAAATATCATGTTGAGTGACATAAGGGAGACAAAGAAAGACAAATACCGCATGTTCTCCCTTATACATGGGAGCTAAACATTTTTAAAAAAAAGAAAGAAAGAAATGTCTGTGTATATCAGTATTGCTGCAATACAGTTTTATAAAACAATGTTTTATAGCTTTGTCAAACCAATGGTTAAGAACATTATACTACTATAGTTTTAATGACCTGTGATCACTTAGAATTTATCATATATGGGTCAAACGGTCAATTTTCCATTCAATCACTGGATATAGTCATTGTCTATTTTCCCACTAAACTAGGGTATTTTTGCTTTTCCCTGTTAAGCTTCTTATTTGATGAAGTATTAAGCCTTTTTACTGTAATGTAAATTTAAAATGTTATCTCAAAAACTCAAAAAAGAAAGAAAGGGAGAAGAAAGAAGGGGGAGGGAAGAGGAAGGGAATATCACTATGTTCTTAGAATTATACCTACAAACCACATTGAATCTGTTAAAAATTAATCAAAAATTAAAAGTTTTTTATAAAAATAAATACCTGTAATGGTTATAACACATGCTAACAAACCCAGAAGAAATGGAAAATAACATAACTCGAGTCTCTTGCTGTGTTTTGCTTACCTGGGCAAAAGTTAATCCCATGTGTTTTTTTTTTTTTTTTTTTAACTTTTATTTAATGAATATAAATTTCCAAAGTACGATTTATGGATTACAATGGCTTCCCCCACATACCATCCCTCCCACCCACTACCCTCCCCTTTCCCACTCCCTCTCCCCTTCCATTCACATCAAGATTCATTTTCGATTATCTTAATATACAGAAGATCAGCTTAGTATACATTAAGTAAGGATTTCAACAGTTTGCTCTCACACAGAAACATAAAGTGAAAAATAATAGATGATTTTTTTAAGTGATGATGAAATCAGATCAGACCTATTGTCATGTTTAATCCCAGTGAGAGTCAAGTTGGGAGTTGATAATTTCTTTTTTTCTTTTTTTTTTTTTTTTACAGAGGATCAGTTTAGTATACATTAAGTAAAGATTTCAACAGTTTGCACCCCCATGAAAACACAAAGTGAAATATATTGTTTGAGTACTCGTTATAGCATTAAATCTCAATGTACAGCACATTAAGGGCAGAGATCCTACATGAGGAGTAAGTGCACAGTGACTCCTGTTGTTGACTTTACCAATTGACACTCCTGTCTATGGCATCAGTAGTCTCCCTATGCTCCAGTCATGAGTTTCCAAGGCTATGGAAGCCCTCTGAGTTCTCCGATTCTTATCTTGTTTAGACAAGGTCATAGTCAAAGTGGAGGTTCTCTCCTCCCTTCAGAGAAAGGTACCTTCTTCTTTGAAGACCTGTTCTTTCCACTGGGATCTCACTCGCAGAGATCTTTTGCCAGAGTGTCTTGGCTTTCCATGCCTGAAATACTCTTGGGCTTTTCAGCCAGATCCGAATGCCTTTAGGGGTGATTCTGAGGCCAGAGTGCTGTTTAGGACATCTGCCATTCTATGAGTCTGCTGAGTATCTCACTTCCCATGTTGGATCACTCTCCCCTTTATTTATTCCATCGGTTAGTGTTAGCAGGTACTAGACTTGTTTATGTGCTCCCTTTGACTCTTAGTCCTTTCATTATGATCAATTGTGAACTGAAATTGATCACTTGGAATAGTGAGATGGCATTGGTACATGCCACCTTGATGGGATTGAATTGGAATCCCCTGGTATGTTTCTAACTCTACCATTTGGGGCAAGTCAGCTTGAGCATGTCCCAAATTATACATCTCTTCCCTCTCTTATTCCCACTCTTATGTTTAACAGAGATCACATTTCAGTTAATTTTTAACACTTAAGAATAACTGTGTATTAATTACATAATTAAACCAGTCATATTAAGTAGAACAGACAAAAAAACTACTAAGAGGGATAATGTATTAAGTTGTTCATTAACAGTCACAGGCAGAGTGGACAGTGAGAGAGAGAGACAGAGAGAAAGGTCTTCCTTTTGCCGTTGGTTCACCCTCCAATGGCCGCCGCAGCCGGCGCACTGCAACTGGCGCACCACGCCGATCCAATGGCAGGAGCCAGGTACTTATCCTGGTCTCCCATGGGGTGCAGGGCCCAAGCACTTGGGCCATCCTCCACTGCACTCCCTGGCCACAGCAGAGAGCTGGCCTGGAAGAGGGGCAACCAGGACAGAATTCGGCGCCCCGACTGGGACTAGAACCCGGTGTGCCAGCGCCACAAGGTGGAGGATTAGCCTAGTGAGCCACGGCGCCGGCCAATCCCATGTTCTGTAACTGTGGTTTTCACACTTTTTTATAACAATAAAACCAAATTTTCAAGTGAAATTCTGTCAAAATCCCTACATTATGTGCAAAGCCAATAAAACAGACTAGGGTGCCACTACTCAAAGGGGGACTTCTGAGATACCTCAGAAAAGTCCTGGGGTTGCCTAGAATTCAGTTTCAAAACTAGTGCTGTATTGGTTTTACTTGAATATTCATAGCCTCACATAGGCCATTTCTCCATACTGATCATTATGTACAAAGTTACTCCCAATCATAAGCGAACTTTACGCTGAAGGAGTAAAAAAGCAGTAATTCACTAAGCACATTTACTCTTCATTAAAACCACCGCTGTATTTCCCCCATTATTAGAAATATGACCAGCCTACGAAATTCCCATAAAAGAACAGACTGATGTCCAAAGTGAACTTAAAATTACAAATCAGAATCTAATCAATTGTGTATTCTAATGATTAAACAATACTGAGGTTTATCAAAGTACACTTCTTGTGACATTATAAATATGGTCTTAAATTAGGCTTAATAACCTCCTTCCACACTATCAAGAATTACCCAAATAGCTATGTCACCTGAGGAGAGGAGCAGACACAGGAATACAGAGTTGCTGCCAAGTGGAAAATATCTTCTGAATATCCAGAAGCCTTCCCAGAAGTATCTGAATTTATAAAGTAGAGGAAAAGTAAGCAAAACAAAATTCTAGCAGAAAAAGACAAAAATTTGACAAAAATGACACAAAGATTCCTGGGCAAACATTGTTTCAATAGGACAATTGAAATATTTCTATGTGAAAATTAATCAAAGTGGCTCTAATCAAAAATTGAATATCTGTCATGGGTTATAACATATTCTAATAAATCCAGAAGAAATGTAATGGAAATGGAAAATAATAATGTAACAGCAGAATTTCCTGAGCCCCTTGAGTCTCTAGTGATAGACCATCTTGTTAAACTGAAATAGTTCTCCCAACTATGTCCAAAAATCAGTAGAAAAGGCTTGTAATACTCAGGTACATATAAAATACGGCAGTTAAAAGAAAAATAATAAATATTTCTATGTGTATATAGAAACCACAAAAAGAATAAAAGTGCATTACTACTTGGTATAAGTTATGTCCTACACCTGAGAAGCCATGCAATCTCTGAAGAATGGTCAAACATGGAATTAAACACTTCTCACTAGTCTAAAAAGTAGAGGCTGCTACAAATTTCCAGTTATATACACCATAACGGTTTTTAAGACTTCAAAAGTTCTAGAATAGAAAATCCTGCCTGCTGGTAGGAGAGGAAAATATCAAATCTTCCCTTACTACAAGCAGTCTGGTGACTGCCCTTTGACTCACCGCCCTGTAAAAAGAAGCCACATCCTCTACTCAAAACTGTTGCTCAAATTTCAGTCTGTATCCTTACCATCTGGCAGCCAGCTACTTCTCTGACCTTGTAACCCACCACATTCCCCAACTCGACCACTACTATCAGGGCACGCCAGCCACACATGCCCACTTCCTAGCTGGGATCACCAAACACCTTCTTGCCTCAGGTCGTCCTTTGCACCACCACCCCCCCCCCTTTGCCTTGAACATTCTTTCTCTGACCTCACCTATAAACAGCATATTTTATCAGATAAAATTATCTCAACTTTTCAAAAAGACAAATAAATACTTACCTTGAAAAGTAGTATGTTTTAAATAAGTTTGAGATGTCTGTCCTTCTTTATGGTTTTCCAAAGGAAGTATCAAACCTTTGTTCCTCTTTACATTGATCAGTGGTTCTATCGCAATCAAGAGAGTCAAATTTTTCTCTGCTTTCTTTGACTCTGGATCATCTTGCCCCTTAGAGAAATATATCCCACAAGTGAATTAGCAACTCAATGTTATTTTAATACAACAGAAACAAATTAATGGCTTTGCATAGATTACCTGGAGAAAATAAATAAGCTGCCAAGCTGAAGATTCAAATAAACTCCATTCCTCATAAGTAAAAGCTAATTTTATAAATTTCACAGCAGCATCCAAAGAAATAACATTTTTTCTTTCTATCATAAGTTCCATCAGAGGTGTTTTGGGGAAATCAAATGTTCCATTTGTACCCATATTTGAAACTACAAAAAGAAACAGAGGAGTTTTAATATCATTCATGCAAAGAAATAGTTACTAAATATTAGCTATCAGATTCTTCCAGGCACCATGGAAATATGGAAAAGAACTGACCTCAACTTCTGCCTTCTTAAACTTTATGCTCTAGTGGGAGAAACGAGAAATCTAAGTGGGAAAACAGAGTGACATGGGGACAAATCTGAAGGTCTCCCAACACTAGTCTGGGGAGGAAGGCAGCCAGGGAAGGCTACCCAGAGAAAGGAGCAAGGAGTCACAAACAGAATCAGCAACATTAACTCATCAAACAGGCAAGTAGATATAGACTGGCCACTGGGAGACAAACAAGAAGACAGGGAGATTATTCTTAGAGTCATCATTATGTGTTCATAGCAAAGAGTAGGACTATCCATGGGCAACAGATAGCTTGTCTAGGACAGGTTCTAGGAGTATCAACATTTAAGAGAAGGGCAGATGGAGAAAAGGCTGCAAAAGAGACTGTTTAGACAGAAAGGAGGAACCAACAGAAGCAATTACTACAGAGAGAGAAGGAAAGGAAAAGAACTAGAAAGTGGCCCTTGGATCAAGCAATAAGGAGCTTGTCCATTAATTTCTCAGTAGGGTCCTAGGGACAGAAGACTAACTGGTGCATAAGCAGAGAGCAAAGAATTGGGAATAGTGAAAAAGAGACAATTCTTTTAAATAAAATCTGGCTGTACCAACTAGAAGACACACATAAGAAGGAAGCTGAAATAGGACATGGGATAAACAGACTGCTTGGAGGGATTTGGCTTAAAGACACAAAGAGGAGGAAGAATACCCATTCCATTGTAATGAGCAATATTGGAGAAGATGGATTCATGTGAAGCTTTGGGGTTTGGGTGAAGGAAGTCAAGGAATTCTCATCTGAGAATCTGCACCTCCTTTAAAGAGGTGAGTCCATACCGGGACACCAGAAGCTCCCTTTCAGATGGATGCATGCACACATGTGCACACACACACAGGCATGCACAGGCGAAACTCACCTAGAGGGCATTCAACCCTCTTCCCCGGTGGATTCTACAGCCAAGCCAGACGATCATTTCAAGGTAAGAAAATTATAAAAACTCAATCTATAAAACAAGAAGATTTCAACTGACACTAGACCTCTCAACAGTCAGCTGCTTAAACTAAGTAAGTTAGTGAGGAAAGAAAATTAAACGTGTAATCTTCTTAAGAGAAAACCCCAAATGGAGCATCTTTTATCACAAGAAGCAGAAAAATGTAACAGATGAACAATGACATAAGTACAACTCTCCCCTCAAAGAATAAGTTATTAAAAACATGAAGAATAAGCTACTGTAAAAGAGAACCAAGTGGAGACCAAGTATAAAGTATATTGCTGTTGAGGCAGGTGTTGTGTGTGGCACAGCGATCAAGACACTACTTGCAGTGACCACGCTCCGTATCAGAGAGCTGGGTTTGAATCTCTACTTCCTATTCCAGCTTCCTGCTAATGTGAACCTTGGGAAACATCAAGTGCTGGCTCAAGAACTTGGGTCGCTGGCATCCATCTCTTTCTCTTGCTCTCCCTATGCCTTTCAAATAAATAAAAACAAATAAAACTTAAAAACAAATAGAAATTTTTTAAAAAGTGCTTCATTGTTGAAATGAAGAATCCAATAGATGGACATAGTAGAACAAAGGGAATCAAACAAAAATTTCATAACCAAAAAAATCAGTTGAGGAACCTTTCCAGAAACCAATAGAATGAAATAAAGAGCTCAAAAGAATAAGATAAATGATATATGGAGTGTGAATGTAAAGGTATTATCATCTGCCTAATAGGAGCCTTCAAGGATTTTATTAAAATGTAAAAATAAGGGAAGAAAATAAGGGCTAAACTGATAAATTAAAGAGAGACATAAAAATTCAAAGTGCTTTCTAGGGATGGCATTGTGGCATAAGCAGGTAAAGCCACCACCTGCAATGCTGGCATCCCATATGGGTGCCAGTTCAAGTCCCAGCTGCTCCACTTCCGATCCAGCTCTGTTATAGCCTGGGAAAGCAGTGGAAGATGGCCCAAGTCCTTGAATCCCTGCACCTGCATGGGAGACCCTGAAGAAGCTCCTGGCTGCTGGCTTCAGATTACATTATGGCCATTTGGCAAGTGAACCAGCGAATGGAAGATATCTCTCTCTATCTATCTATCTATCTCTATCTCTCTCTCTGCCTTTCAAATACTGCCAAGAATATTAGGAAACTATCATTCTTATATTGCTGGTGTGAATATACAATGGAAAAGATATCCTGGAGAATAATATGGCTGTTTCTTACAAAACTCAATACACACTTAGCATATGACCCAGCAACTGCACCCTAGAGCATTTAACCCAGAGAAATGAAAGCTTGCTTTCACGGAAAAATCTGTACTCATGTCTATAGCAGTTTTCGTTCTAATAGCTAAAAAAAGGAAGCAATTTAAATGCCCTTCAATAGGTAACTGGTTAAAGTAATGATGGTGCATCCATGCCATGAAATACTCAGCGATAATAAGGGATGAGCTACTAACACACACAACTCATTGGAGACATCTAAAGGGAATGAAGCTAAGTGGGGAAAAAAAAAAAAAAAGAAAGAAAGGATAACACACAGGCACGCAATCTATAACACAGAGATCCTGTAATCAATGGGGAAAGGAAGGTTTCTTTAATATCGTGCTGTGTCAACCAGATATTCATATGGAAATGAAATAAATCTTGATGCCTACCTCACACCAACAAAAAAAGACCTAACTGTAGACCTCATGTGAGAGGTAAAACAATAAAGCTTGCAGAAGAAAGCAAGAAATCACATTGGGATAACAGAGATTTCTTAAACATGACACCAAAACGTATATAAAAGATATATGGACAACTTGGGCTACATGAAAATTAAGAATTTCTGTTCCCCAATAGACACTATTAAGGAAATGAAAAGACAAGCCACTAAGTAGGAAAGAATGTTTGCAATACGTGTATTCAATAACAGACTTAACATCCAGTATGTATAAAGAATTCTTAAAAATCAGTAAGAAAAAAATAGAAAACTTGGCAAAATATTTGAATAGGCACCTCACAAAATAGGGGAACCTTGGGGCCAGCACTGTGGTGTAGTGTGTCTAAGCCTCTGCCTGCAGCGCCTGCATCCCATATGGACACCGGTTCATATCCCAGCTGCTGCTCTTCCGATACAGCTCTCTGCGATGGCCTGGAAAAGCAGTAGAAAATGGGGCCCAAGTGTTTGGGCCCCTGCAGCAGCATGGGAGAGCCAGAGGAAGCTCCTGGTTCCTAGCTTCGGATCTTCCCAGCTCTGGCCACTGTGGTCATTTGGGGAGTGAACCAGTGGATGGAAGACCTCTCTGTCTCTCCCTCGATCTCTAACAGCCTATCAAGTAAATAAATAAATCTTAAAAAAAAAAAAAAAAGGAGGGCCTTGTGGTTGAGAAAAAGAAAAAAAGATGTATGAAAGGGTGCTCAACTTGGTCCTTAGAGAAATGCAAATTAATCCATAAGGTATTACCATTGAATTCACACCATAATGGAGGGGAAAAAAAGGTAACACTAAATGTCAGTGAAAATTTGGAGCAATTGATACCCCATAAAATTCTTTTGGGAGTGTAAATAGGGAAAACTTTGGAAAAAGGGATTTGTTATAGCAAAACAAGCATATCCTATACTCTAGCAATTCCACACAGAGAGAAATGCATACTGAAGATATTTAACACCTATTTCTCAGTAGCTTATCGAACAAGCAAGAAGAAATAATCAGTAGGGACAGAGAATATCTAACTACATGATTTACAGCCTTAACAAAATCAACATATATTTAAAGCAATGCAGCCAGCAACAACAACAAATGCATGCCTTCTTCAAGTGCATCCTATACAGACTATTTACTGAAACTGGCCATCGCTCAGGCCAAACAGCACACCTCAACAAATTTCCATGGTTCCAAACAATTCAGCATTTACTCCCTAACGATAGTATAATTAAGCTAGATATTGCAAACTTTGAAAAGAATAATGAAATCTGTGCACCTCTGGTGAAGTTGATGAAACAAAAGGCAAACTAATCAATGAAAATGAAAAAGACATCACTGTAGATCCTATAGACACTAGAATCATAATGAGATATCAAACAATTTTATGAAAATCAGAAATACTGAATAAAATAGAAAATTTTAAAAGAAAAATGTAATTTACCAAACTGACAGAATATTTTTTAAAATATTTATTTATTTATTTATTTATTTGAAAGGCAGAATTAGAGAGACAGAGGCAGAGAGAAAGAGAAAGTGAGAGAGAGAGGTCTTTCATCTGCTGGTTTACTCCCCAAATGGCCACAATGGCCAGAGCCAGGCCCATCTGAAGCCAGAAGCCAGAAGCCTGAAGCTTCTTCCAGGTCTCCCACGTGGTGCAGGGGCCCAAGGACTTGGGCCATCTTCCACTGCTTTCCCAGGTCATAGCAGGGAGCTGGATCGGAAGTAGAGCAGCCAGGACTTAAATGCAAGCTCATATGGGATGATGGCACTGCAGGCAAAGGCTTTACCCGCTATGCCACAACACCGGCCCCAATGCAATATTTTTAAAGGACAGAAAAAAAACTATATAATTTTTATCTGTGGAAGAAATTTAATCCATAATTTAAAACATTTCCACAAAGAAAATCCCAGGTCCAAAGGACTTTACCAGCAAATTCAACCAAATTTAGAAAAAAACACCAGTTTGACACAAACTTTTTAACACAATAGAGAAAGGGGGCATATATCTCATTTCTCATGAGAAGACATAACAAGAGAGGAACATTTCTCTCATGAACAGAGAAGCAGAAATATTAAATAGCAAACAAATCAAGCAACATATCAAAAGGCTAATTTTCATCTCCAAATAATTATTATAAACAACTATATGGTAGCTTAAAATAAGGTAAATAAGCAATGTAAACCACCACACTAATGGAAACTCAGAAAATCTCAACAAATCTAGAAAATGCTTTTGACGAAACAATTATTCAAGATTAAAAACGAACAAACAAACACTCTTAGGAAACTTGAAATTAAAGAAGCTTCCTTAGTTTGAAAAGAGCCAACTAGGGGCTGGTGCTGGGGCACAGCGCGCTGAACCTCTGCCTGCAGCACCAGCATCCCATATGGGAACCAGTTCGAGTCCCGGCTGCTCCTCTTTGGATCCCGCTCTCTGCTATGACCTGGGATAGCAGTGGAAGGTGTCCCAAGTGCTTGGATCCCTGCACTCATGTGGGAGACCTGGAAGAAGCTCCTGGCTACAGACTTCATATCAGCCCAGCTCCTGCCATTGCGGCCATTTGGAGAGAGAACAAGCAGATGGAAGAATTTGTCTTTCCCTCTCTGTCTGTAACTCTACCTCTTAAATAAATAAATAAAATCTTAAAAAAAAAAAAAAGACAAGGGGAATCTATAAAAATCCTTCAGCAAATATCTCAACTAATGACAAAATGCTAGAAACTTTCCATCTGAGATCAAAAATGAAAGATACCTATTCATTACCACTTCTTTTCCATGTTATTTGAAATCCTAGCCAGTACAATAGTCAAGAAATGTAAAAAAAAAAAAAAGAAAGAAAGAAAGAAAGGATTAAGAATTGGAAAGAAATATAATTGTCATTATTCACAGGTGGCTGTATCAAAAAAAAAAAAGTGCAAAGAACATTCTATTAGTAAATCACTTGAAATACCACTTCAGCAAGGTTGCACAGTTGGATATCAGTTTCTTATGAATAGACTACCATTTCAAAGTTTTTACTTGTGTCTACCATAAAATATTATCTTAACATCTTATTTACCTAGCAAGAGTTCTTTTCCTGCCATGAACAGTTCTGAGACAACGTCACGAATCTCCACTTCTTCTGTAACAACAGGTCCAGTTTGCAGTATTCGCCTATTTGAGTCAGAAAGAGCCTCCACAACAGCAAGAAACCGAATTGAAGTGCAATCAAACATCTCATCCAACAGCCGCTCTGTGACAGTACGTGGCCATGGCAACTGGCATTTAAAAACAAAAATACAGTCCAGTTTTAAAGGATATTATAAGGCAAAGAAAAGGGATGTTTAATTTTAAAAGAGTAGTTAATCTAACAATGAAATGGCTGCTTTTGAGGTATTCATTTTTCGAGATGTCACTCTAGACTCCATTAAAGTTTGTGTCAGGCTGTTATTACATCAAAGACCTTGCAATTTATCTATATGTTTCTGATTGCAAGGCAGCTTCAAAAGGCTGTTTAGTATAATATTTTTATTAAGCCAGGATCACTCTCCATATGTGCTCCAGTACCTTAATTACAGCCTTAAGGAACTGATGCTCAAATTTTGGTTGCCTAAGAAGCATTCACGAATGCTGTTGAGATTCAAGACCAAACCTCCAGAGAGTCGAATGGGTGTGTGGGGCATTTTTAATAAGCATTGCAGGAAATTCTAATGCAGAACGTCCTCAAACCCAAATCTTGCGAAGGTATTCTGTAGTAAAATTAACTAGTCTTGTGGAAGTTAACTCTAAGGAGGAGTAGGTCTGCTGTCTAATGAGCACATGGCTATTGGAGCCTGGTGTGTGTTCCCAGACACTCTGCTTTATGCTGACCCAGAATGATTTTAACCTCTTGCAGATGGCTCAACTCCACACTTTGTTCTTCTGACAAATGACCTGTTCTCTTCAGTATAAGGACAGTAGTTCTAGTTGGCTTTTCTGGAATTCCTATCCAGCTAGAACCTACTCACCGTTCTCCCCATGGTTCCCTTGCATATTTTTCTCTTCTTGGAGAAAAGTTAAAAAGACAGAAAAACAAAAGCAGAGATAAAACTGCTTTCAATTATATTTCCTCAAACACCAGCTTCCCTAATCATTAGCCTCTGTCCCTTTTCAACCCACTGATCAACTGTTATGTTAAAAACCTCAATACAAATTGAACTTCATGCCCTGCCCCTTCTTTATTTCAAACAGAAGCAAGAGTTTCTTCTAAGGTTTTTATAGTACCTTAAAATACAGCTTTAAAAATATATATATTTAAGGGTGATGCTATTTGGGATGTCAGCATTCCACACAGGAGTGCCTGGGTTACAGTCCTGTCTCTGCTCCCAATTCTGCCTGCTACTAAAAGGCAGCAGGTGATGGCACAAGTAGTTAGGTCCACGCTACCCACCTGAGAGAAATGGATTGGGTTCCCAGATCCTGGTGTCAGCCTGGCTCAGCCTTCATTGTTATGGGCATTTAGAGAGTGAGCCAGTGGGCAAAAGGGGAAGACCATGGGAGAAGGTGGCACGAGGGAGAGAGAGAAGAGTACCCCACAAGGCATAACTTTGTCCTGCTTCCTTCTGTGACAGTCCTCAGTGCTGTTTGCCCAGCATGCGTGTGGTTAGGAGAGCCCACGTGAGTAGCTATGACAAGTGGGAAGACCATCATGACCCGTGTAAAATCTTCCAGAACCTCTGGCAAGTGACCAGCAGTTTGTTAAAAGAGGGGTGCTCAGCCTGGCCCTCAGCAGCTTTCCTGAGCACAAACCAATGACTGTAATACCATGGGGCTCCGATGGGAAATAAAGGGTTGTTTAAAGCCACCTGAGGTATGAGGGTTGTTTGCTGTGATAGTATAACCTAGTTCCTGAATGCTCCCAAAGGTGAAGCCTAGAGCTGATGAGAAAACCTGACTCATACTCTTCCCCAACCTCAAAGCCAGCTAAGCAAGTGATATGTGGCCAAAGGCAAAGACTGCTCAATGGTCATCTGCAAGAGTCTGTTCATTCAAATTTCTCCCAGGCTCCTCCTCTCCAGTATCTGGTCCTTTAAAGTTGCAAAACTGGTATTGTGCTAAGGCACAAAAACTTTGAGAAAGGGAGGAGACAAGTCCATATCTAAAATGGGAAAACATTCTTCTATTTGCTCTTGGTGAATAAGATCCACAGCAGAATTTTATAACCAGTGGGTAGACAAAGTGGGTGGGGCCGGCGCTGTGGCGCAGTGGGTTAATGCCCTGGCCTGAAGCGCCGGCATCCCATGTGGGTGCCGGTTCAAGTCCTGGCTGCGTCACTTCCGATCCAGCTCTCTGCTGTGGCCAGGGAAAGCAGTGGAGGATGGCCCAGGTCCTTGGGCCCCTGCGCCCATGTGGGAGACCTGGAGCAGGCACTTGGCTCCTGGCTTCGGATTAGTGTAGCTCCGGCCATTGTGGCCATTTGGGGAGTGAGCCAACGGATGGAAGACCTTTCTCTCTGTCTCTCCCTCTCACTGTCTGTAACTATACCTCTCAAATAAATAAATAAAAAAATAAATCTTCAAAAAAAAAAAGAGCCTTACAAAGAGAAGACATTTTTAAACTTACACTTTGTGCTTCCTTCAAGTTAATCCTTGTCTTTGGTCTAAAGAAGACTTTGTTTTTTCTTCGTGATTCAAATATCCCTCTTTTGAAGATCATCACTGCCATCTGCCTCCAAAAGAAGCATTATAGATGAAGTAACAATGGGATGCCTTTCCCAGCTACCAATAGTGAGTACCTAATCATCCACAGAGTGGGGTAAATCTCTTTTAGGTCATGAAATTTTTATACCTTTATTGCGGCCTCTCTGTAATATCTTCTGGATTCTTCCTGTGATTGTGAGGAACTCATTACTTCCAGTTGCCTCAACTCTTCAATTTTGCCTAAAGCACGCCGAGCAAATGCCTAAATGCAATTAAAATAAATTTATTTCATAATAAGTTAGAATAGAGTGATTAAAAATGTATAAAGACAATATGTTTTGTTTCCCCCAGACATTTGATTTAATCTGTAAATTAAACCGTAGGCTGATGTTGACTTCTCACAACGTAGTAGCTATCCAATCTATCATTTCCTATAAGCACCACTCAACTCCATAGATCTAAAGTGATTAAACTATCACAAAGGCTGACTTCATGAATTATGAACCAAAAGGGTGAGGGAAGCAGAAATATGAGTCACACAGTAGTTTCATATACACCATCACTTCTCTGGCACCAACTGCACATAGGCACACACATACATGAACACACACACACACACACACACACAACCAGCCTCAGTGCTCTTGTTGAATCCTAACCTCCATACCATAACTTGCTGTATTATCTATCCAATTGTCCACATTGTCCACTAAATCGTAAGATCTGTAAAGGGTCTTACTCATTTTTGCTTCTCAAATACCAGGACAGAGGAAATATTTAAGAAATATCTGGGGAAGGGAAAAAAGGAAGAAGGTAGGCTTGCTTATTTAATATCACTGTCATTATAATTATTTAGAGATAACAACAAGAGTTCAACGTTATTAAAAGTTCAATAATAAGTATATTCATTTATTTTGCCATTTCTTTGAAGTATTTTATTCATAATTTCTAATTTTAATGAAGCTGTTCCCAGAACAACCATAATATTAACACAGATGAAGGATTAACATTTCCAATAAGGAATAATCTTAATTGGAATCAGATGGTCAAAACCATACAAACATCCCATTCCCTGGTAATTTTATTAACGATAGAACAAAATACGCCACCATTAATACACTATCGTTAACTATTCATAGATGGTGAGTAGCTTCTAGGCTGCTTTCTGGGCCACAAAATCATCCCAAGGAAGACTGAATTAGGGTATTTCTCTGCCTTTGAGCCATTACCATCCAGTAAGTCAGAATTAGTTCAGGTAGGAAAACTAAATGTAAAGGAATCCATGACTAGCCAGATGATTTATGTGTGGCTTGAACAGGACAGGAGCAGGTGTTTGTATAGCGGTGAAGGCTATGTCCTACACAAGGCTTCTAGCTAAGAGGTTGAGTGATGGCTCAAATCCAACTCCTACTGCACTTACCAAACCTGGTGCAAGAATGTAATGGCCCAAAGGGAAAGTGCCTATTTCTAAGTGTCACCAAGGCCCCATCTGCTACTCAAGCCAGTTAGCAGGCACTATAGAGAGAGCACCTTTTAACATTTACACAGCGGGGATTTTGTAATTTCTCAAATATATATCCAAAGGAAAAACAAGAAACAGAATGTAATTACACAGTGGCTAGAGGCAGAGAAAAGGCAAGATGAATGTTCAATAGTTGGTATATGAAATACAGAACAAACAAGGAAGGAAGGTGGTTCACACATGAAAAGAAAAGCAACAAAAAACCTTATTCAGAAAAAGAACAAAGAAAGTGAAAGCTAATAGAGAATAAAGGAGGCTGTGGAAAGTAGAGCAAGAGATCAATAGAACAAAAAGCCAAGCAGATTATAAAATCAAAGACTTCAGCTTTGTCTTTGCTTCAATTCCTTGGTTGTTTTTGTTTTTGCATTCCTTGTGGGCATCTAAGGAAGAAAAGGCAGAATAACCCGTATTTCAAATGCTGGACCCTCAGAATTAAAAAGGAACACACCTCTCCATTCATGCCAGCTTGGCAGTCATAGTAGCACTGGCAAACAGCAGTGTAAAGAGTAGTTCTCCACGTCAGGTACCTGATGGACAGCAGCGGCACTGAGGACTCCATGCACACACTGGCCCACAGCAGGTATTCCAAGGCCTGAGGCACAAGCGGCACAGGGAGTTTAGGTTCATGGTAAGCTAATCATGACTAATTTAACATCAGATTCTAAGTTGTGAATACAAGTTGCTGACTATTTAAACCAAAAATATCATAAACAATGAGTCAAGAAAAAGCCAAGCATTTAAAAAAGTAGAAGAATGATTTAGAGAACTCAAAATCTCAAATGAGTCATTTTAGAATACCTTCATACTTAGCTCCTAAAGGCACCCCTGAACTCAGCTTTTTTTTTTTTTTTTGTGTGTGTGTGTGTGTGTGTGTGACAGGCAGAGTGGATAGTGAGAGAGAGAGACAGAGAGAAAGTCTTCCTTTTGCCATTGGTTCACCCTCCAATGGCCGCCACGGCTGGTGCACTGCGGCCAGCGCACCACGCTGATCCGAAGGCAGGAGCCAGGTGCTTCTCCTGGTCTCCCATGGGGTGCAGGGCCCAAGCACCTGGGCCATCCTCCACTGCCTTCCCGGGCCACAGCAGAGAGCTGGCCTGGAAGAGGGGCAACCGGGACAGAATCCGGCGCCCCGACCGGGACTAGAACCCGGTGTGACTCAGCTCATTTTCAATACCATCTAGCCGATGTCAAGGGTGGTCCAAGAGCTACCTTCAACAATGTAACAAAGTTGTTACTAGTTGTATCGTTGTGATCCAGGAGGTAGGGAAAATGAAGACTTACTTATAATCTAGGGCCTGTGTTCCTTAGTAGAAATAGTCCAAGACTGGAATCAAACAAACCCAGATTTCAGTCCCTATTTTATCATCAAATAGGTATATCATTTTTACCTCTCCAGATCTCAATTTTCCCATCTGTAAAATGGGCATTTTTTCCACAGCAGTGCCTTATGAAGAAAGAGACAGTGAACACAACATGCTAGGGTGGTACTTGGTGGGCTGTGAGCACTCCATGGTGCCTGTCACCAGTGTAATACTTCACAAGCTGCAATTCGAAACAAAATGGCGGTAAAAGACTACATCTATTAACTGGTGTGTCTGCAGGAACCATACCTAAGAACCTCTTGTGTTCTAGCTCACCTCACAAGTCCTTATTGATATGCTTCTGACAAGCCTTTATTTTTATTTTATTTTTTGACAGGCAGAGTGGACAGTGAGAGAGACAGAGAGAAAGGTCTTCCTTTGCTGTTGGTTCACCCTCCAATGGCCACCACGGCCAGTGCACCACGCTGATCCGATGGCAGAAGCCAAGTACTTATCCTGGTCTCCCATGGGGTGCAGGGCCCAAGCACTTGGGCCATCCTCCACTGCCTTCCTGGGCCACAGCAGAGAGCTGGCCTGGAAGAGGGGCAACCGGGACAGAATCCGGTGCCCTGACTGGGACTAGAACCCGGTGTGCCGGAGCCGCAAGGCAGAGGATTAGCCTAGTGAGCTGCGGCGCCGGCTTCTGACAAGCCTTGTACTGGGATACACTACCTTACCCCACGAGTTCTGCAGTTAACATTACCATCTTTATCCTTCTTCAAAAATATTCCAAAAGCTCAAATGATTATTGAGTCATACAATAGTACCCTAAAAACTTTATGGGAAAATGGAATTAAAAGATTACTTTGGTGCAAAAATATTTTGAAGTCCATCATAATTTTTTCATAATATGCGTTTTCCATAAACGTTCTGAAGTGTCTTAGTTTTGCTCTTCATCTGATTTACTAGAAGAGGAAATCTGGTCTATGCTGTACATATTACTGTAAGAAATGTTACTGGGATAAAAATAAGAGTCTGAGAGCTAGGTATCTAAGAACCTCAAATGCAAAATTCCACCCATGGAATCAAGGAGGCCCTCGCATGTCTCCCTGAACTACTTACAAGACTTACTCACTTGTCACCTTTTCTTTAGTCTTACCATCTCCCTTCTTCTTGTACGTCTTATTAATCCTTGTCACACCCACAAGAATTATTTTTCTAAAATGTATATTGTGTCATGTCATTCTTACACTTAAAACATTTCAGTGGCCCCCTATGGCCCATGTAACAAAGTAAAAGCCCTTTACTGGGGCATACAAAACCCCTTCATGACCTAGTCCATAGCTTTCCTTCCCCATTACCCTTGGCCTTGAACCATACACTAAGCTGGTCCAACAGGCTTTTCCATTCTACAAAACATATTAGACGCCCAAAATGTATGTCCCTGCTCACTCTGCCATCTTTCCCTGGCATGCTCCTTCCTTCACCTGCCCTGTATGACAAAGTTAAAGCACCATGTACCCCTGCCAGCAATGTTACCTCGGACAATTTACTTAAACTCCACATGCCTCAGATTCTTCATTTGCAAAACGGGTCACAGTAACTATCTTAAAGGACTGTTTGAGAATTAGATGAGTTAATACATGTGAAATGTTTAGAATACTGACTAGCACGTGGCAAGCACATAGTATGTGTTACTCTGGTGATGACAAGGAAGGAAAAGGAGGCAGCATGGAGAAGCAGAAGCAGCTGGAAGAACAGGGAGAGAAGACTTCGAGCTGTGGAAGATGACTTTCCTAGCATCCCTAGAGAAGAGACCATTGCCTCGTGTCCGTGTCTGCTGTAACTGTGTGATGTGTGGATGTGTATATCCACATAGACTTTGGTACACATACATACAGGTGGAGTATCCATCAGATACTCAGAACCAGAAGTGTTTTAGATTTGGGTGTTTTTTTTTTAAATTTTGTGATATTTGCATATATATTATGAGATATCTTATTGGTGAGACCCAAAATTGAACATGAAATTCATTTATATTTCACATATACCTTATGTACATGGCCTGCAGGTAATTTAATATAATATTTTTAGTATGCCTATGTTTTGGCTTTAGCCTGTCATGAGGTCAGATGCAGAATTTTCCATTTGTGGTGTCATGTCAGAGCTCAAAAAATTCAGATTTTGGAGCAATTCAGATTTAAGATTTTTAGGTTAGAAACACTCCACCTATATCATATGTCACACCCAATGGCATTAACATGCTCACATGTGTTTCCAAAACTAGACTGTGACCACTTTGAAAAGAATAATAGTGCATTATTTGGTCTTATATCACCAGCACCAAGAATATAACCAGCTCCATGGCAGATACTCCCAAATGATATGAAATAAATTTGATAGACAACTCTGAAATTAGCAGAACCAGCCACAGAAAAGCTAATAGGTATCCCATAGTCTCAAGCAATGATAATAAATTTGAACAAAAGAATGAAGTTCCTCTTCTGATAACAAATTAGACCTTTAATAATTAAGGAAATTGTTCAGGAAAAATATGTCCACAGTAGTCAGACCCATCTTTTATGCCTTTTTAAAGGCAAATCATCAAAAAGGTCCAGGAGCTTCATGTGCATTAATCAAATCTACCACATTGTGTGGTATCTCATGGTAAAAATAAGTAAAACATTGGAAACGTTCATACTGCGTTACCTTATTTGAAGCCTTCACAGACAGGACGTACAACACATGTGCAGATAGCTCAGTGGAAATCTAAAGAAAGAAGCCTAAAAAATCAGGACTCTCTACTATCTAGTCAATTTTGATTCCAGAAAAAAATGGACTTTTGAAAATAGATCAGGGCCGGCACCGAGGCTAATCCTCCACCTAGCGGCGCCAGCACACTGGGTTCTAGTCCCAGTCGGGGCACCGGATTCTGTCCCGGTTGCCCCTCTTCCAGGCCAGATCTCTGCTGTGGCCAGGGAGTGCAGTGGAGGATGGCCCAAGTGCTTGGGCCCTGCACCCCATGGGAGACCAGGAGAAGCACCTGGCTCCTGCCATCGGATCAGTGCGGTGCGCCGGCCGCAGTGCACCAGCCGTGGCAGCCATTGGAGGGTGAACCAATGGCAAAAGAAAGACCTTTCTCTCTGTCTCTCTCTCTCTCACTATCCACTCTGCCTGTCCAAAAAAAAAAAAAAAAAAAGAAAAGAAAAAGAAAATAGATCAGGGTGGGACACATAATTGCAAATGACTTGCTATCCACTGGAGTGTAGAATTTCAATTAACTTAGGAAAGGCACTGTCTGACATGCAGTAGACTTGCAATAAATATTTATTGGCTGACTTACTGACTTTCATTTAAAAGTTTCAGTTCATGGTACTTAGTATGAAAATATTTCAGGCAATCATAGAATCACAGGGCTGGAAGTCAACTTAAATTTTATTCCCATCAGCATCACCAGCACCACCACTGGATACACTACAAGTTCCCACCCCAAAAGTACCTCCAGTAATAAGAAGCATACCATGTAGCTGCAGAAGACAACTGTAAACGTGAAAAATATGTACTTCCAGAACTTAACGCCCACCATAATATTCCCCACATGCATTGGTCCTAATTGTGCTTTTTGGAACATCACAAGACAATAAAAAACTCATTTTCAAATTCAGCCTTCCGAGAATGTGAAGACAGCTCTGCAGCCTGCCCTCTTCCCCAGCTCTCCGCTCTATCAGGATATACACCCCCCAGCCCTCCTGCACCTCACAAACCTGCCCTGCTCTAACCAGGCTGGCTGTTGTGGCTTTGCTCCAGGCTGCCAATGTCCATTTAGGTATGACCAAGTCACAAGACGGTAAAAACCCTTTGATCCTCGTTCTGGACACAACACTTCTACTAAGTCAGCCTGAGATGGTTTTGTCACTGTTTCGGCTGTTGTCCCCATCACTGCTGTCCTTCAATCTTGCCACGCTGAAGTGATGTGAGATTGACAGCCATAAATCACTGTTGAGTTTTTCTCACATCCTCACATCTCCTGGTCCCTAACAGCCCCTATTTTGGATGTTTGCATTTGTATTATTGTGGTTTGGGGACCATGGGGTTAAGCCATGTATAAATTCCTCAAATTTAAAATTCACATCTTTCTAAAAATCCCCCAGGAATTATGACATTAGAAATTTCACATTTTAGGACAAAAACAGCTTTAGTTAACAATTAATCACATTCTATGTGACTGTGGCCATAGAGTTAGAATTAAAGGAAGTCACAGATTTTTGTGCCAAAATGGATCTTAAAATTAACCTAACCTGACCTCCAAAAGGCTAAACTCCTTCTAAGCAGCGGTGCTGGGGCGGAAATTCAAGGCTCTGAACTCCCAAATGCATCTGTCTTCCCAGCATACACAGCATCCTTGGCAAAGGGGAGAAGTATGCCAGAAACCACTTAGGGTTCTGAAAAACCATCATTCAAGTTGAAGATGAAATGCTATTTCCCAAAAAAAATGACTCAATTTGTAGCGTTTTTTCTTGCCCTGGTAGCTAGAAATCATTGTTTATGTTAATGAATAAAAGTTTATGGAATACAGAAGGTCTATTCTCTATATAGGAAAAAAAAGAACAACTTGGAAAACCCAAATTATATCCATAACCAAAATATGGGCTCAGCACGAGCATGTTTCAGGCCTGTAGCAGGAAAAACACATTCAATTAATCAGCTCAGCCACATGATGGCACTGCAGCTTCATTTAGATCAGCTTCTATCATCCTAGGAAACTGACGAGAAATTTTAAAGGTGGGATTTAATGTTTATGTAATGGTTGTGGAATAATTGAGCAATAACAGAATAACTAAACAATAACTTTTCATGAAGCATAATTTGCAAAACTATTTCAGTTTTACATAAATATTAGACATAAACTAAATTTCTTAGAAAGCATAAATTCTACTGTGTTCTTTAATGTTTACTAGCTACTTTACTACAGTTTTAAATGCCACAGAAGTCACTACAGATTATTCTGACAAAATAATGGGTGAAAGAAGATAGCTCTATGTTCCTAGTCTTGTGGGATGGGAGTGCAGGGTGTGTGAGGGGTGCAAGAACTATGGGGTGACAGGTGGTTATACAATTGGCATCTGAAGATCAGGATGACATTCCTTCAGTTTGTTCAATACAGTACATTTCAAAGAAATTTGTAACTTTCACCCATAAATTCTCAAGCCTACAGCTGGCAGGTTGATTGAAAGCTGAGACTTTAGATGGATTAGATGGGTTCATCTAATAGAAATGAGCCTTTGGAGGTCCCACTTATGTGTATGTCCTCCTGGGATTGAGAAACCTGCACTCTGTAGTGATTTAAGTTCCAGTATGTGATAGCAGAAGGAGAAGTAGATCTGGGATCCTCAGACTGTTCCTGGTACCCCTCCAGAGGATGCAAACCTCCATTTGTACGGGATTTAGCCATATGGCTACCCTTTGTTATAGCAATCAAGTCTCCACTGTGTGCTGGGAACTGTGCGAAGGGCTTTGCATACATAATAACTCACCACAGTCTTATGAGGGAGGCACACTCGTCACCACCATTGTCAGCAGCAGCGGCAGCAGCTACGTTAGTGGAATGAATGTCTACCATCTATGAGCTATGCTTCTAGGCATTTTCATGTGTCCTCCAGCTTTGAGAAAGATGTTGTTGTCACACTCTGCCTCCTCCTCCCCATCTTATAGAAAAGGAAACTGAAGCTAGGAAAACTGAATTTGCTGAAGGTCACACATCTGGTTAGAGGTGTACTAAGGCGAGCCAGAGTCGCACTGGATGGCCTCTCAGCGCCATCAGAATAATGCATGTCTGTAGACTGAAGTGAATCCTGTTGTGACCTATCCTATTTCTGTTTACCTACTCAAATGGAGGAGCTGTGTGGGAGGGGGTTGACACTTTTGACATGACGGAGTATTCCTGAAGATAGAATGAAGGGCGAGACTGGTCAGGGGCCCTTCCCCAGACTGGGAACACCTAAGTTAGTGCTGAGACAAGTCATCCACAAAAGCTTAAGGAAAGCAGGGAGATCAGATTGCGGAAATCTCTGTCCCTAAAGACACAGGGCAACTTCACTGTTTCCCTGAAGACATCCTGATCTTCAGATGCTCACACGCCCTCCACTCCCATCCCACAAGACTGGGACCGCAGAGCTATCCTCTTTCACCTAATGTTTTGTCAGAGATGAACTCCAGTTATGTGAGGGGCAGAGGAAATGCCCTACATGGGTTATAAACAAGATAAATTAAGACGATTATCACATGAAATTGCACTTTTCTCATAACAAGTACACACACTAACAGCCAAATGCTGGCACAGATGCCTCTGCCCTTCCAAGCTCTGGCAGGCAGACAGTGCAGCAGACCAAACTGTGATGGCTCTGTGAAGCATTTGTTGTTACAGCAAGTGCAACAAGAGTATGCAAATTGTTTTAGGGAAATCATCTGGAACTGACTGTAGAATTGTTGGAATTGTCTGTAGGCCAAATGTATTATACATGGGGCAGTCTCAATTTAATTTACACTCAAAAAAACTGGCACAGACCTTGTTCGAGTCACTGTCAGTAATAAAACTTTTTAATGGGGAACAAAACTGAAGAGAATGCACAATTAAGGCTATCCATTGAGCATGCAAACATGAAAATGTTTTCAAAAAGTTCATGGAATGATTAAATTAAAGATCAGATTAGGGGCTGGGGCTGTGGTATAGCGGGTACAGCTGCTGCCTGCAGTGCTGGCATCCCATATGGGCACCAGTTCAAGTCTTGGCTGCTGCACTTCCGATCCAGCTCCCTGCTAGTGTGCCTGGGAAAGCAGCAGCAGATGGCCCCAGTGCTTGGGCCCCTGCACCTACATGGAAGACCCAGAAGCAGCTGTTGGATCCTGGCTTCAGCCTGGCCCAGCCTCGGCCATTGCAGCAGCCTTTTTGGGACCTCTCTCTCTCTCTCTCTCTCTCTGACTTTCCAATAAATAATAAATAAATAAATATTCTCTTTAAAAAAAGATAAGATTATTTTGGTACAAAAAAAAATTGAAATCCATGTTGTTTTTTTCAGAATGGCATTTTCTTCAAACTTTCTGAAGACCCTTAGATCTTTACTTTTGTTTTTATTTTTTAAGTGTTGTCAATTTTTAAGATACTTGTCTATGTTTTGAGGAAATAAGAATAAAAAAAAGTATCTCCTCTGAATGTTAGAATATTCAGGGTAAGGTTTCACATGCCACAAAGAACAATAAAATAGGAATGTTTCAGATGCCAGCAATACTCAAGTAGGGTCTCAACGGGAGTATATTCACCCTTCTTGGTCTACATTCCAATGACTAGAAAATGAACACTGGAAATAAATATGTCTCCTGCAGACAAAAATGCTACCTACATTGTAGGGAAGTTAATAGAAATGTCAGCAACTTCTTCAAGCTAAAACAGAGTAGGGAATACTGGTAAGCGAGACTTTTACTATAAAATAAAATCTCCTTGCCCTCGGCTCATGCCTGGTTAGAGTTTAGTATTCATTCACCCAGCCAGCATGTGAACTAGAAGTAAAAGTCCAAGTATTTAATAACATAAGTGGGGTAACTGTAGTTTCTCATCCAAACCAGGACACTTCGGAGGATGACACTATTAATAATGACTCCAGGACAACAGGCAGGAACCAGGGCTGTCCTGGGTAAACTGGGTAACCTAAAAACTGAGTGCCCAGGGAGATATTAAGTATTGAAATATGCCAAGTATGACTGTCTGACAGACAGGAAGACACCAGACAATAACTATCAATTTTAGGAATTCCCTTCCTTTTCATTAACATTTTGTTGTCTACATTTTTACATATGATCACTATGAAAGTAAGCTAAGAACAATAAAACTATATTATATATAGTCACTAATTTTTATCATATAATTCACTAAATACTCTTTATTTAAAATTCAACATGAGAGTATTTCAGGCATGGAAAGCCAAGACACTGGCAAAAAAAAAAAAAAAACCTATATGAAAGATCTCTGCAAGCGAGATCCCAGTGGAAAGAACAGGTCATCAAAGAAGGAGATACCTTTCTCTGAAGGGACGAGAGAACTTCCACTTTGACTATGACCTTGTCTAAATAAGATCAGAGTCAGTGAACTCAAAAGGCCTCCATAGCCTTGGCAACTCATGACAAGAGCCTAGGGTGATTACTGACACCATAAAAAAGAGTGTCAATTTGTTAAGTCAACAACAGGAGTCACTGTGCACTTACTCCTCATGTAGGATCTCTGTCCTTAATGTGTTGAACATTGTGATTTAATGCTATAACTAGTACTCAAACAGTATTTTGCCCTTTGTGTTTCTGTGTGGGTGCAAACTGTTGAAATCTTTACTTAATATATGCTGAATTGATCTTCTGTATATAAAGAGAATTGAAAATGGATCTTGATATGAATGGAAGGGGAGAGGGAGTGGAAGAGGGGAGGGTTTCGGGTGGGAGGGAAATTATGGTGGGGGGGGGAGCAACTGTAATCCATAAGCTGTACTTTGGAAATTTATGTTCATTAAATAAAAGTTAAAAAAAAATAAATTCAACATGCAATGTAACTCAAGTCTTAAGACAAAGCAGGAAGGGGCCCGTGCTGTGGTGTATTGGATAAAGCCACTGCCTATGACACCAGCATCCCATATGGGTGCTGGGAAATGTCTCAGCTTCCTGCTAACAGCCCAGGAAAAGCATCAGAAGATGGCACAAGTACCTGGCCACCCAAAAGGGAGACCCAGAGGAAGCTCCTAGCTCCTGGCTTCAGCCTGGCTCAGCCCTGGCAGTTGCGGCCACCTAGGGAGTGAACTAGCGAATGGAAGCTCTCTTTCTCTCTCTGTCTCTTCCTATGTCTCTCCTTCTCTCTCTCCATAACTCTACCTTTCAAATAATTAATCAATCGATCTTCAAAATAAAAGAAAGAAAGAAATAGCAGGAAATAGAAGGAGAAATATGTTGCCAGTACATTTCATACCTTGGAAGACTGGCCTATGACCATCAGTTTTCTGCAAATGGTATAAATGTAAATGGTACCTAGATGGAGAAAAAGATTGTCAACATGCTTTTACAGTCAAATGACATAAATTTTACATTCTAGTTTATAAGAGTTTAAGTCTGTGATTCCCAAAACAAGCTCAATCATGAAGAAGTCCAATAACAGTGGAGAATTATAAATATCATAATTTTTCTGATAACATATAGGCAACATCATTAAAATAACTAATTTGTACATATTTTATGCATTTTGACACAAGGATATTTTAGACTCATTTAAAAGGCAATTTAAGGTTTGTAATACACTGAACGAAAAATGTTTGAGTGTCATAATTTATGTAGCCTGTGGTATTATTAATTCATATAAAATATTACTGGTTCCATGCCTTCCTTATCTTTGAAAAATGAGAGATTTATCTTCAAATAAGATGGATACATATTTAATTGGCATGGAACAGTACTCAATAAGGAAACTCATAATAATTTAAAAATCATAACAGATAGTTCACATTATATTCATTTGCAGTCTCATATAACATTTATCCCATTATTAAGGTATGTCCTATAAATGCTCTAATAAAAAAGCAGCATTTCCAAAACTTACATAAGATCATTATACTATTATTTCATATCAAGCCATTAATTAAGCAAGGCTAGAAGGCTGGTAGCAGGGTTGGAGGAAGGAGTGGAAAACAACATCACAATTTATCTCTCTGTATATAAAGGACATCATCATGCTATAAATATACCCAAAAGATGGTAACACACTTTCAAAAGGCATGCAATTGTCATGACAAGTAGCATAAATATTTTCTGCAAACTATCTGATCTAAAATTCATAACCATCAAGATTCAACAATTATGAAAAGCTTCTAAGAAAACAACATCTGTTCCAAAACATATCACTTGATTGAAACACACCTGTAAGCATAACAAACATTAATTACACAAATCAGTCACAAAAATGTTGAATAAAGGCTTAACTATGTAGACATCACAAACGTCACAATATGACGCTGGCCCTTCAGATCCAGACTTAGCCCGGAGTGTGACCACCCGTGAACGTAGTTGGTTTTTTTTTTTCACCTGAGACCCACTAGAGAAGAGACTACAGGGCTAGCAGCAGTTCAAGCCCAGCATCTTTGCTCAGTTTGGCTTGGTTGACTTGTACTCTTAATCTTTAAGAATAGAATTGTAACTATGGATCATTGTAGGGAAAAAGCCACTAAATAAGGCTATGCACAGGAAACACACCCTTTTCACAAAACACGTGATTCAGGTGTAAATTACATAAAGATGCATCAAGGTGTCAGCATCAGGGAACTAAGGAAGCCTCAGGGAACTGTCCTTACGAATGACAGGGCCCCTCTGTATTTAAAAATGCGCGTTTAACCTTTCCAGCCCCCAACATATCCTGACAATAGCTGAATCATGTTTGCTAGTTCAGGCTCTTGGCATGGCTCAGAAGTTCCCACTGCAGAAGCCAGATGGAGAGTAAGTGGTAGAGCAAGGACTGCAGACTGAATCATTACAACATCAGGATATCTCTAGAAATTTGTTTTGTTTCATCTTGCTTTTAACCAAATCTAGAATGAACTAGATAAGTTCATTGCCTGGCCATGTGACTCCTTTTCATCAAAGATGGTCATTGTCAAAATAATCTAAATTCATCAGGTTCAGGTTAGTTGAGAAGTAAAATATTCAATATTCAAGCATCCAAGAACCAAGATTGCTTATCTTAAGAGTCAGCTGGGGGGATGGGCATGTGGCACAGCACTAGCTGGCCTGTTGAGACACCCACATCCCACCTCAGAGCACCTGGGTCCAAGTCCCAGTTACCTGGCCTCTGATCCAGTTTCGTGCTAATCCACACCCTGGGAGGCAGCAGATGATGGCTCAAGGACTTGGGTCACTGCCACCACATAGGAGACCTGGATTGAGTTCTGAGATACTACGTTGGCCTGGCCAATCCTGGCTGCTGCAAGCATTTGATGAGTAAATCAGCAAATGAAAGATCTCTCTCCAGCTCTCTCTCAATCTTTCTGTCTGCCTTTCAAATAAATTGAAAAAAATTTTTTTTAAAAATCAAGGGTATGAATTATCACAATCAATTAAAAAGAAAATAGAGTGACCTGTCTGACTGAAAGGTCAAATGTATGGACAATTTGTAAAAATGCATTTGATCGGAGCCGGCGCCGTGGCTCAATAGGCTAATCCTCCGCCTTGCGGCGCCGGCACACCGGGTTCTAGTCCCGGTTGGGGCGCCGGATTCTGTCCCGGTTGCCCCTCTTCCAGGCCAGCTCTCTGCTATGGCCAGGGAGTGCAGTGGAGGATGGCCCAGGTGCTTGGGCCCTGCACCTCATGGGAGACCAGGAAAAGCACCTGGATCCTGGCTCCTGCCTTCGGATCAGCACGGTGTGCCGGCTGCAGCGGCGGCCATTGGAGGGTGAACCAGCGGCAAAGGAAGACCTTTCTCTCTCTGTCTCTCTCTGTCCACTCTGCCTGTCAAAAATTCAAAAAAAAAAAAAATGCATTTGATCTTTTCAGCCAAATACATTTCAACTACATAAATCCCAAACCGTCAAAAAAAAAAAAACTTCAGGGTTTTTGAACTTGTCTATTTTGCAGTCAGAACATCCTCCCTTCAAATATCCAGCTGATTCACTCCTTAAACTCCATCAGGTCTTCGCCCACTGTCATCTCTGACCGATCTGGTTAAAGTCACAGCCCATCTCCAGCCCAGCTGCTGCTCTCCCTATCCCCTTCTTGCCTTTCTTTGTCCCCCATAGCACTTGTAACCATCTGGCACCATACACTTCTTATGTATCTGTTATCTCCCTGCAGCAGAAGCAAGCATGAAAACAGGGTTTCTCTCTGTTGTCCACACCTGTGTCCCTAACACTTAGGACAATGCCTGGCACATGGTAGGTGCCCAATAAGCTTTAGATGAATAAATGAAAGTAGGGACAGCAGTTAGTGAAACTAAATATGTGTATCTCCCACAACCCAGCAATCCCACTCCTGGCCGCAGATCCCAGAAAAGTCTCACATAGGTCTGTAAAAGGACACATGCCAAGGATATTCACTGGGGAATTATTTGGTGCAATTAGAGGGGTAGGGCACACCTGTGGTGTATGACTGTCTGGAATACAATTCAACAGGCAGAGTTAACAAATTAGATTTACATACAGGAACCTGGCTAAATCCTAAAAACACCGAACTGAATGAAAATAAATTTAGGGAACAGAATAAAATCTAAAGAATGACACCAAGAATACACCAAGAAAAGGATATTAAACATAAGGAAATCACTTAATCTTTTCTTTTCTAAAAAAGAATATTAGGGGTGTGTGTGCGTGTGTGTGTGTGTGTGTGTGTACACATAAGTGATTTCAAAAGGGCTGAAGACAATGGATCACACTACATTAATTCCACCTCTCAAGCATGGGCCAACTACAGAGCCCAATACTTGGCCCTATCCCTGACCCCTGAGCACAGAACTGCTGCTCCTGTCCTTCCTGTACCTGCCAAGACGTGAGAGCAAGTCAGGTGGATATGTGGCAGTGGTGACTCAAGAATCCAGGTTGTCTTGAGGATTATAAGGCACGAAAGTTTAATAATCACTGGATCAACAGATCTCATCAGGGTTGGCCTCACTTCTAGCAGCAAACAGGAAGTCTAATTTCAATCAATTTGAGGTGGGTGAAGAAGAAAAAGACTAGAAAACGTACTCTGAGCTGCCAAGGATCAGGGAAAACATCATATATTCTCTTTGAGTCATTTTGTCTGGACTTTTTCACATCAAGCACACTGTCATTTTTGTTTAAGAATATATTATCTACAGCATACACACAGGAAAGGAGTGAGAAAGTATCTCTGCATTTTTCACATGACTCTCCAAATAAAAATAGCTAAAGACTCCATCAGGAGCCAATATTGTGGCGTAGTGGGTAAAGCTGCTACCTGCGGCCGTTTTGAATTTCAGTAATCCAACTCCCTGCTAATGTGCTTGGGAAAGCAGCAGAAATGGCCCAAGTGTTTGGGCCCCTGTACCCACTTGGGAAACCGGAAAGAAACTCCTGGCTCCTGGCTTCAAACTAGACCAGCTCTGGCCATTGTGGCCATTTGGGAATGAACCAGCAGATGCTTCCATCTCTCTCCCTCTCTCTCACTCTCTCCCTCTCTCTGTAAACTCTGCCTTTCAAATAAATAAATAAACCTTTTAAGAAACGATAGCCCAAGTATTTGCACTCCTACCACCCATGTGAGAGACCTGGAAGAAATTCCTGACTCCTGACTTCAGCCTGGCCACTGTGGTCATCTGGGGAATGAACCAGCAGATGGAAGATTCATTCATTCATTATATCTCTCTGTCTCTCTGTCTCTCTCTCTCTCTCAGCTCTCCCTCTTTCTCTGTAACCGGGCATTTGGCTTAGTGTTAGGCTTCAGCTTAGGATACCCATGTCCCACACTGGATTACCTGGGCTCAATTCCTGGCTCCAGCTTCCTACTAATATGGACTATTGAAGGCAATGGAAATGGCCCAAGAAGTTGGGTTCTTGCCATCCACACAGGAATTCTAAATTGAACTCCCTGCTCCCAGCATTGGTCTCCAACTCCTTTGGGACTTTGGTGAGTAAACAAGTAGGTTCTCACTCTTTCTCTCTACCTCTCAAATAAATAAATATCAAGAAAAAAAAATGTTCAATATCACCAACCATCAAGGAAATGCAAATCCAAGCCACAATGCGATATGTCACTCCAGTTAGAATATTCACTATCAAAAATACAAAAAGTAACAAATTCAGGCAAGATATGGAGAAAAGGAAATGCTTATACACTGTTGGTTGGACTGCAATTTAGTATAGCCATTATGTAGACTATGGAGAGTCCTCAGAAAACTGAAAACAGGCCGGCGCCGTGGCTCACTAGGCTAATCCTCCACCTAGCGGCACCAGCACATTGGGTTCTAGTCCGGTTGGGGCGCTGGATTCTTTCCTGGTTGCCCCTCTTCCAGGCCAGCTCTCTGCTGTGGCCCGGGAAGGCAGTGGAGGATGGCCCAAGTGCTTGGGCCCTGCACCCCATGGAGACCAGGAGAAGCACCTGGCTCCTGCCATCAGATCAGTGAAGTGCGCCGGCTGCAGCGTGCCAGCCATGGTGGCCATTGGAGGGTGAACCAAGGGCAAAAGGAAGACCTTTCTCTCTGTCTCTCACTCACTATCCACTCTGCCTGTCAAAAAAAACAAAAACAAAAACAAACCTGAAAACAGATCTACCATAATATCTAGCTATCCCATTTCTGGGGACATAGCCAAAGGAAATGAAATCAGCCTGAGCCGGCACCGCGGCTCACTAGGCTAATCCTCCGCCTCGCGGCGCCAGCACACCGGGTTCTAGTCCCGGTCGGGGTGCCGGATTCTGTCCTGGTTGCCCCTCTTCCAGGCCAGCTCTCTGCTGTGGCCAGGGAGTGCAGTGGAGGATGGCCCAAGTACTTGGGCCCTGCACCCCATGGGAGACCAGAAGAAGCACCTGGCTCCTGCCATCGGATCAGCGGGGTATGCCGGCCGTGGTGGCCATTAGAGGGTGAACCAAAGGCAAAAAGGAAGACCTTTCTCTCTGTCTCTCTCTCTCACTGTCCACTCTGCCTGTCAAAAAAAGAAAGAAAGAAAGAAAGAAAAGAAAAGAAATCAGCCTGTTAAAGAGACAGCTGCACTCCCATGTTCTCTATAGCACTATTCACCACAGCCAAGCTATGTAATCAACCTAACTGTCCATCAACAGATAAATGGATAAAGAAAATGTGGCATATATACAGAATGCAATGGTATTCAACCACAAAAAAAAGAGAATGAAATCCTGACACTTGCAGCAAAATGGATGCAACTGGAGATCATTTGGTTAAGTGAAATCAGCCAGATCCAGGAAACAAATGCCACATATTCTCTCACGTGGAAGTTTTAAAAAGTCTGATCTCAGAACAGTGATTACTAAGGACTGGCAAGGATAGGGAAAGGGGAGGTAGAAGGAGGTTGAATTACAAGCACCAAATACAGTCAAATAGAACTAAAACGTTCTAGTGTTCCACAGCACCGTGAGGTGACTATAATTCCCAACACTGTAACATATCCTATGTAAAGAACTGGAAGAGAAGAGCTGATAGACCTCAAACACAATGAAAAATACAGAAATAGAAATGTTGATTATCTAATTTGATGAATTTATGCTGTATGCATGTATTGCAATATTGCCCTATACCCCATAACAATGTACATGTACTATATGTTTACCAAAAAATATTTTAAATATGGGACAAGTATTTAGCCTAGAGGTTAAGGTGCTGGTTAAGACACAGGTGTCCCAAATTGGAATAGATGGGTTTCATATCAGGCTCCAGCTCCTAACTCCAGATCCCTGCTAATGTAGACCCTGGGATGCAACAATGACAGTGCAACTAATTGGGTTCCTGTCTCTTATGAGGGAGATCTGAATTGAGTTGTCAGCTCCCAGCTTCTGCCTCAACCAAACCCTTGTCACTGGGGGATTTGGGGAGCAAAACAGTAGATGGAAGCTTTCTCTTGATCTCTCTGTGTGTGTATGTGTGTGTGTATATATGTGTGTGTGTGTTTGTGTGTGTATCTGCCAAATACATGTTTAAATACCGAAAAGTTAATAAAAAGTATCTCTCTATCATTCAGTGACACATGGTTGCAGTTAATTTGCTACTGATGCAGTTGACACTTTAGGTGAAAATGAACCCTTTGGAATACTTGTATATGTTATGCTTGTTTCAAAATAATATGGTGAATACTGAAAAAATAATTAGCCATGGAACAAGGCAAGATTGTTACTTTAGAGCAGAGAAAAACAAATGCTACATTTTTATAGCTAAGATTCATTTCATCAGATATATGTGTGTGTGCTAGGGCAGGCGATGGATACACATTCTCAGAGCACCTCTTGCAAGACCAAGTAGGAGGAGAAGGTTGCTGTGTCAGGAAGCCAAATCCACTGGATAAGGTCTTTGAGGAGAAGACAAATAAATGAATGATGCTTACAATCAGTCTAACAGGCAGTGGTCTTTAGATCCTGCCCCACTTACATTTTACACTGGCTATTATTAACTGTGACCCCTGTTTCTTATACACCCCAAACTGATTATCCCCAGAGCTCCTGACCCGTTCATTAGTAGAAAACCCACAGGCATGCACTGTAAGTCCCTACTTACAAAGACAAACTAAAATGTAGTAGAGATGTAACAATTCCCACAGTCATCCTATTATGAAATGCATATATTTAATTCACAAGGTAATCAAGTTACTATCACACTTGGCATTTAGACTTCTTTTTTGAAAGATGCAATTGAAAGTACAACAGACTGGTGTGTACCATTGAAGATAATCCAGCAAAGGTGCTCCTGCGGCAGAGCCACCTGCATGATGAGCCTTAAGGAAGACAGGATCTGCAGACACTGGCTCACAGATTCTTTATTCTGCAGCTTTACATCACTGTCGCAGACCAGCTGGTAGTTGCAAATATTTTTTCCGTTTAGAGCATGAAACTGAAATACATGGGAAAATATATATAAGAATACAAATAAGGTTTAAGGAATTTAGGCAAGCATCGCTCAAGATGTAAAAAAACTAAAATGGAAACAACTATGCTTATTTAATATAATCGATTAGTAGAGAAAGAAACATGACAAGCTGGCTTTCTTTACAACATCCACTTAGTCAGGACCAGCTTTTATAAGTCAAAAGAAATCCAAAGCAAAACAAGAATGTTCAAAAATCATATTACCAGGATTACAGATTGACTTAATTTTGTAAACTTAACCTACAGAACATCAGCTTAGCAACTTGTACACTGAAGTGCACCTGTTGTTCACCCTTGTGATCACAGGGCTGACCAGGAGCTCCAACTCACTGCCACCAAGCAGCATTTCAAGAGATTAATGTGTCATTAGCTATCCCAGGAAAGGATGAAAATTCAGAATGTGAAGTGTAGTTCTACGAAAGGCATATTATTCCCATCACTGCAGCATCGAAAAAATCCTAAGTCAAACCATCATAAGTTAGGAACTATCTTTAATTACTATCATTTACACAATTCAATCAAAAAATGTTTATTGGGCACTTCTGCTTGCCACACACTGCTTGACAAGAGGAGTTCCACGAAGAAAAAGAAACGGCCCCTACCCTTGGCAGAGAGAAGAGTGGGCCCTGTGTTAGGGATACTTAAGGTGGCTGCTGTAGTCCCTTAACTAAAAGGTTTTTGTGAATTTGGATGAAGCTCCTGGCTCCTAGCTTTGGATCAGCCCAGCTCTGGCCACTGTAACCACTTGGGAAATAAACCAGCAGATGGAAACGCGCTCTCTCTCTGTCTCTCTTTCCTTCTTTCTCTGTAACTCTGCCTTTAAAATAAATAAAAATAACTCTTAGATGTTGTTGTCTTGGGGGTGGGGGGGGGAGATGAGGCTATAGAGGTTTCCCAGAGTCAGAGCATGGAGAGTTTTCCACGCCATTCCAAGGAATCTGGACTTTAGTCAAAGGGCAAAATCAAAGAGGAGTGGAATAAAATGATTTAATTTATACTTCAGAAATTGCTTCTGACAAAATATGGACAATAAATGCAGAGGATACAGGGAGTCTAGGAGAGACTTTTATTCAATACTTTTCACGATGGGACACCAGCCTACTACCCAGGATTCTCATTCATGCACCTATGGTCCAGCCAAACTCAACTGCTGAATAGTTCCCCAAATATGCCCCGATATTTTTTTCTCATTATAAGCACTGTTTCCAAGGCTTTGAATACTCATCAGGTTGGGAATAACACAGATTTGGAGTCAGAGTGATCAGGGTTCAAACACTAATCCTACCCATTGCTTTAAGTGGGCAGTTTCTTAATCTCTAATAAGCCTTGGTTTCTTCATTTGTAAAAAAGGCCTAACAGTTTCCACCTTTTAGAACTCTCATGAGGCTCTGAGCTGATAATTCACATAATACATTTAGAAGAGTACCTAGCAAGTGGTTACTGCCCAACTAGCCGGTCGGTGAATCAGCAGCAGCAATTAATAATACTGTTGTAGTAAAAATAAACTATAAAATGTTTGTATCAAAAGATCTATAGAGCCACTGATTCATACGAATTGTTTGATCAGCTTTATTTTTCCCTTCTGTATAAGGATAATAACAGTATCTAACTTAGAACGTCACTGTAAGACCGATGTCTTCCCAAGCACTTTGTAAACTAAAAGCACTCTATAAATATTAGTTATTCAATAACAGTTAACCTTGTTAGATGAATGAGTAATCATAGTGACACAATCTCTAAACCATCTTTACAAAGGTGAACAAGTTCATTTTCACCTCCAGCACCATAGCTACATGCGATGCCAAGCAAATGAAAGACATTTAGAGACGGTCAGCACAGGATGCACTGCAGAGCCGTCATAAACTGCAGCTATCTCAGCTGCTTCCTTCGTCTTACTGTAAGTCCAGCAGCTTTATCCCCAAAGCCTTTCGGAAAAAAGACAGTTTTGAATTGATTCACATCAGCTTTGTTCTCATCAAAATCCATACTGAACTGCTGAAGATATCTTCCATAGCACTGTAAAAGGGCCAGTTTGTATTCCTAAAAAAGAAAAAAGGAAAATATAATTTTGCCTATCATTAAGTAGTATTCATGTTACTCTTAATAGGATCAGTGTTGATTAATACACTTTTGCTGCTTTTTATACATATGCATACATTTTGTGATGGACACTGTGCTAAGCAATCTATGTGCATCATTTCATTTGATTCTCTTCATGACAAGCCTATTGTTAAATGGAACCATCGTGATTAAGATGAGAATATCCCCCAGGGCACTCTGGGTGGTAATATCTGTATATTCAAAATCCAGACCCGAAAATGCAACATCACCAAATTAAACAAGGAAGAGGGCCAGAGAGGGAGGGAGGGAGGGAGGGAGGAAAACAGAGCTGGACTTCAGCCAAAGTGCAAAGTCAAGGGCAGTAGAGAAACAAAGGAAAAGGAGAAAAAAAATAAAACACAGGTGTGGGGTAAGTGAGCTAATTCCTGCACTGTGTGTGTGTGTGCACGTACACACACGTGTGTCTCATGTGTCAACAGTCTCTGAAGCTACATCAGGACAAATTTTAAAAGTCTGGGCCATAGACTTCTTATAGTCCAAATCCATGCTTATGTTCTCATTACCCAAGTCAGTTTCCTCATTTCCGTCATTCACCGGGTACAGCTGACCCAGAGACTAGTGGGGCGGGGTGTGAATAGTGCTCCATCAGAATTCAGTTGCAAATCTTCACCAGCCTCTTCTGCAGCTGCAACTCCTTGAAAATCAAGTGCTGTAGGTATGAGCTGCCTAGCCAGACACCAGGCCCCCTGGGACACATCGACAGGCAAACACTGTTTTGTTTATATTTCTGTTGACTTGTGAGTCTTCCACAAAATGACCTTACTATAACAGAAATAAAGACAATCTAGAAACCAAAGTAAAAACTCAAGTTCATTTTCAGGATGATAAAGATCATCAAGTGGCCAAACATTCTTTCAGTGAAAAGTTGTCTGTTGTCCTTTAACTAAATTTTTTAATATCCTATCTAGGCCTCTCTACCTGAACATCCTGAATCCTTAGCTATCGCCCAGCCTCAATTTGCTTTGTTCACTTACAAAATGTTCCTTCTGCCTCCCTCCACCAATACCCACTCCACCCACCTGGACACGCATCAAACAAACCAAGCATGTTACCAGCTTCTTTTCTGAGAAGCACAGAGATGGAGAGGGATCTGTCTTCTACCTACTGTCAACATTGTTATTCTACTTCACATGAACACAACTTACACAGTGTATCTCCCCTGGGTTTTTCTGTAGTTTCGCAAGTGCTATATTTCCAGGTTTCTAAAATCCATGTCCACTTACCTGGGGCTAAGATTATCCTCTAATTTTGGTGGAGGAAAAATAGTCCTCATTATAAAAGTTCCTCCACCTCTTATCCTGTTTGATACATTTACCTGTTAGACCCAAAGGGTTCAAGTCCAGAAAATAGAAGTAGAGGAGGAAAAGGAAGCTGAGAAACTGAAGACTCAGAAAGTACTGAATACTGCCCATGTCAGGCCAGAAATCCCTTTGGATAAAGTAACTCTTTATTCAACCATTCATGTAGCAGAATAATTTGCACCTATGCCAGAACTGGAAAGGAAAATTCACATTATCTTTAACAGCACCCAGCCAAGGTGTGGTCTTATCAAACCAAGTCCACTGGTCCATGGCATTCCAAGACTTAGGCAATCATATAGAACTAAAAATAGGGCACAAATTTTGTCTGGAATACAATACTTAGCAAGAAATAGGGGTTGTATGTAAAGCCTCTATAATTACACACATTAAAACATGAAGAAGCCGAAGTTCATTAAAATAGGGTACTGGCAACTAGGCAACATAGCAGCGAGGACAGGAGCCATGAGGGTTGTTCCCTGGGCAAGGCCAGCCATGTGAAAAACAACAGGAAGTGCTGTCTGGGCTCCTTTGTGTAAGGTAGGAACATGATGACTCAGCACTTCCTGTTGTGCACCTACCACACCCTCTTACACACACACACAGAGCCAGCTACACGCCTGTCCGACCCCAGCCAGCAGCCTGCCCATTCAGGATTCTCTTACCTCTGCAGAATCTTAACTACAAAATTAAAAAAGCAAACACTTTTCTGGTCATGGTGTCTCACTACAATTTTTATGTACTCACATTCAAAAATCCAAACATAAAATAGGAAGCATGACAGATCAAATAATCACAATAATGAGCCAAATGAGCTTTGTTTTGGCAATCCTTACTCCAGAGGCACTTACTTTCATTTGAAAAAGGCTATCTCCAACCTTCAGAAGCTTTTCATTGTAATAGTCAGCTGGCAGCCTGGGGGCGTATTTGGTCCAGATATTAAACAAAGAGGTGGCACTGTAAAAATCATAAAACAAAATGACATCTTTAAAGTCAGCAGGAAGCCTCAACTAATTAGCAAGCAATCCTTAAAAACTTAGCTAGTGCTAAGTCTTCTCAAAGTGCCTTATTGTTAATGCCTCATTACTAATAATAAATGAATTATAGTTAAAATGATTGCTTCCTATGTTCCAAATACTAATTGAAGCTATTTACATGCATTTCTTAAAAATGTATTTATTTATTTATTTAAAAGGCAGAGTTACAAAGAAAGAGCGACAGAGGCAGAGAGAGAGAGAGAGAGAGAGAGAGAAAATTTTCTATCCACTGGTTCACTCCCAAGTGGCTACAATGGCCAGAGCTGGGCTGATCTGAAGCCAGAAGCCAGGAGCAACTGGGTCTCCCACATGGGTATAGGGGCTCAAGGACTTGGGCCATCCTCTGCTGCTTTCCCAGGCCATAGAAGAGAGCTGGATTGGAAGTGGAACAGCCAGAATTCAAACCAGCACCCATATGGGATGCTGGTGCAGTAGGTGGAGGCTTTACCTGCTATGCCACAGTGATGGTCCCTACATGCATTTTTAAAATACCCTGTAAGAGTGGCTTAGGTTCACAGCAAGACAGAACAGGAGGGATACAGATTTACCATACAGTCCCTGCCTCCACACATACATACCCTTCCCTATTACCCACATTCCTTATATTAACTGACACATCATTATCACCCATTATCTATAGTCTATATGAGTTCACTCTCATCCATTCTATGAATTTGGACAAACGTATACTAATGTGTATCCACCATTATAGAATCACAGAGAACAGGGGTCTGCACTGTGGCATAGCAGGTAAAGCCACTGCCTGCAGTGCCAGCATCCCATATGGGCGCCGGTTCGTATCCCAGCTGCTCCACTTCTGATCCAGCTCTCTGCTATGGCCTGGGAAAGCAGTAGAAGATAGCCCAAGTCCTTGGACCCCTGCACCCGTGTGGGAGACCTGGAAGAAGCTCCTGGCTCCTGGCTTTGCATCAGCTCAGCTCCAACCAACTGGGGAGTGAACCAGCAGATGGAAGACACCTCTCTCTCTCTCTGCCTCTCCTTCTCTCTCTGGGTAACTGAGTTTCAAATAAATAAATAAATAAATAAATAAATAAATCTTTAAGAGAGAGAGAGCAAATAGTTTCACTCCCTAAAAATCCTCTGTGCCACACCTGGTCATCCCTCTCTTCTCCCTCAATCCCTGTTAACCACTGGTCTTTTTTACTGTCTCCATAGTTTTGCCTTTTCCAGAATGTCATACTGTTGGATTCACATATTATGTACTGGGTCCTTTCACTTAGTAATATGAATCCAAGTTCCCTCCATGTCTTTTCATAGCTTCATGCGCATTTATTTTTAGCACTGAATAGTATTCCACTGTCTGTATGTAACACTGTTTACTTATACATTTACCTACTGAATGACATCTTGGTTACTGACAAGTTTGGGCAGTATGAATTAAGCTGCTATAAATATCCATGTGCAGGTTTCTATGTAGATGTAAGTTTTCAACTCCTTTGAGTAAATACTAAGGAGCTCAACTGATGGATAATATGTAACAGTATGTTTAGTTTTGTAAGAAACCACTAAATTGTCTTCCACAGTACAATGGCTATAGCATTTTATAATCCCGTCACCAGTGAATGAGAGTTCCCACTGCTCCACATCCTTGTTAGCGTTTATAGTGTTGTATTTTGGATTGGGGGCCTTTCTAACTGGTATGTAGGGTATCTCATTATTGTTTGAATTTGCCTCTCCCTGTTGACATATGTGAAACATACATGCATGTATTTATTGAAAGAATGAGTGAATGCATGAGTGATTTGGTAAAAAAGAAAACATTCCTTGTTCTGTTCTTGTTTCAATCTTTTCTACAAAGAGTTCAAGGGCTCAAATATCTTAATCCATTTAGGTTTACATTTCCTTCCACCAAGTAAAAGAAAAACAAAGCATACAATGTTCCCAGAAATGCTTTCTGACCAGAGTTTGAAAAAGTAGATCATTGCTCATTTTATTATTTTTTTAAATATTTATTTTATTTATTTGAAAGACAGAGTTACAGAGAGAGGTAGAAACAGAGAGTGAACCATCCGCTGGTTCACTCCCCAGATGGCAGCAACGGCCAGAGCTGCACCAATCCGAAGCCAGGAGCCAAGAGCCAGGAGCTTCTTTCAGGTCTCCCATGTAGGCGCAGGGGCCCAAGGACTTGGGCCATCTTCTACTGCTATCCCAGGCCATAGCAGAGAGCTGGATGGGAAGAGGAGCAGCCAGGACTAGAACCAGCACCCATATGGGATGCCAGAGCTTCAAACCAGGGCTTTAACCCACTGCGCCACAGTGCTGGCCCTGCTCCTTTTATTTTTTCATTTGAGGGCCAGAGAGAAAGGTCCAGTCTCCCATCCACAGGTTCATTCCCCTTATGCCCACAACAACCTGCCAGGGCTGGGCTGGTCCCAGAACCATGATCCAGGAACACAATCCAGGTCTCCTATGTGGGTAACAGGAACCCAGTTGTTTGCACCATCACTGCTGCCTTCCAGGATCTGCATTGGTGGGAAGCTAGAGCCAGAGCTGGGGACTGAACCTAGCATTCCATTGTAGGATGCAGGTGTCAATCACTAGGTTAAACACTCCCAGATCATTGCTTATTTTATTCATTTATTTAAATTAACACTCCTTTCCTCTCTCCTAAAAATTATAAATGCTTCTAAGAAAAGTCTAAATTTCCCTTAACTGCTGTCCAGTCCTCTCCCATAAATTTCTAGATAAGGAGAGTATTACAGACTGAATGCTTGTATACCCCTACTCAACATTTCACATGTTGAAGCCCCAACCTCCAATGCGGCTATATTTGGAGAAGAGGTCTCTAAGAAAGCAACTAAGGTTAAATGAAGTCGTAAGAGTAGGTCCCTGGTCTGATGGGATTAACGCCTATACAAAGAGAGATAACAGAGAGCTTGCTTTCTCTCTCCATGCTCACACAGAGGAAAGGCCATGTGAGGACAGGGCAGCATTCTGCAAGCCAGAAAAGGAGCATTCACCAGAAGCTGACCTTAGTGGACCCTCATCTGAGACTTCTTCCCTTCAGAACTGTGAGAAAATGGATTCCTGCTGTTTAAGCCCTTCAGTCTATGGTAGTTTGTGTGGCAGCCTGAACTAATACACACAGAGATCTCAACTTAAGGACTGAGGATGGCTCTAATACTCACGACGCAAATGTTAGGATACTAATGAAACAACCTCAAGAGACATGTCATTTAATTCATTGGGTTAATCAAATAATATTGATTAATCAATGAGTGACAGGGGCAAAGCACTCCTGTTTTCATGAACTGATTAATACAATTTTGGATTAAAAAATATGTACACGTGTCAAGTAACAAACAACAATGCCAAATAAATAATGTAGTAGATGTAAACCACAGAGATTTACAAAAAGAGGTGTTTTTACCTTTTCACTTTTACTTGCTGCCTCATAACACACCACAGTATTAAAACAAATATAATGAATTCAAGAAATGCACCAAGTCTAGCTAGAATTCTTAAATTACAGAGAAGTAACCATTAACTCTTCCAAACATTTACGAATGAGATAATGAGACTAGGTTTGGTACTCATAAAAGAAAAATACCAGCCTTGTTAAACCAATCAAGGTTATATAAGAAAAATCAGAGTTTTTTTAGTGATCCCTAAGTTCAGGTTAAGGTTGCTTACTCAGAATGGCTTAAATAATGATTAAAGAAAAAATATATAGTACATCCTATTTAATATACATTATTTAAGAAGAGAATGTTAGCATACTTTGGTTTACTAGTTCGTTATAAGTAGCTGCTGGATATTTAGAATGTTTTAATTAATTAATTAATTTTCTTTTTTTTTCACGGGCAGAGTGGACAATGAGAGAGAGAGACAGAGAGAGAAAGGTCTTCCTTTTTCCGTTGGTTCACCCTCCCATGGCCACCGCGGCCGACGCACTGTGGCTGGCGCACCGCGCTGATCCGAAGCCAGGAGCCAGGTGCTTCTCCTGGTCTCCCATGGGGTGCAGGGCCCAAGCACTTGGGCCATCCTCCACTGCACTCCCTGGCCACAGCAGAGAGCTGGCCTGGAAGAGGGGCAACCGGGACAGAATCTGGTGCCCTGACCGGGACTAGAACCCGGTGTGCCGGCGCCGCAGGTGGAGGATTAGCCTATTGAGCCGCGGCACCTGCTAGAATGTTTTAAAATAGACAATACTGACTGCATAAGCAGAATATCTAAATCTTACATGCTTATACTAAAAGCAGATTTTTTTTTATTTTTTATTTTTTGACAGGCAGAGTGGACAGTGAGAGAGAGAGACAGAGAGAAAGGTCTTCCTTTGCCGTTGGTTCACCCTCCAATGGCCGCCGCGGCCAGCGCACTGCGGCCGGCGCACCACGCTGATCCGATGGCAGGAGCCAGGAGCCAGGAGCCAGGTGCTTCTCCTGGTCTCCCATGGGGTGCAGGGCCCAAGCACCTGGGCCATCCTCCACTGCACTCCCTGGCCACAGCAGAGAGCTGGCCTGGAAGAGGGGCAACCGGGACAGAATCCAGTGCCCCAACCGGGACTAGAACCCGGTGTGCCGGCGCCGCTAGGCGGAGGATTAGCCTAGTGAGCCGCGGCGCCGGCCTAAAGCAGATTTTTAAAAAATATGTATCACAGTCTTATTTAATAGTATAGCTGGTATGATCAAAATTTATATTTTTAGATACTACGAATTTTTATGTACATGGAAGCTTCTGAAATTTTAAGAAACAAGTTTGAATTTTAAAAATCACCATTTATCATTTATCAAATAATTTATAAAAGTAACATCTATCTCCTGGACTTCCAACTCATCACACTACCAGTCTTGCTCCATTGTACATGATCACTAAAACAATTTTAAAAACAAAATCACACAGGGTTAATTATTTGCCCAAAACTACTCAATGGTTCCCCATAGCATTTGGAATAAATGC